AAAGAAGAAATTCAGATGGCCAACAGACACATGAAAAGATGCTCCACATCACTTGTCATCAGAGAAATACAAATTAAAACCACAATGAGATATCACCTCATACCAGTAAGGATCACCACCATCCAAAAGAGAAACAACAACAAATGTTGGCGAGGATGTGGAGAGAGGGGAGCCGTCCTACACTACTGGTGGGAATGTAAATTAGTTCAACCATTGTGGAAAGCAGTATGGAGGTTCCTCAAAAAACTCAAAATAGAAATACCATTTGTCCCAGGAATTCCACTTATAGGAATTTACCCTAAAAAAGCAGCACTCCAGTTTGAAAAAGACAGATGCACCCCTATGTTTATCGCAGCACTATTTACAAAAGCCAAGAAGTGGAAGCAACCTAAGTGTCCATCAGTAGATGAATGGATAAAGAAGAGGTGGTACATACACACAATGGAATATTATTCAGCCATAAGAAGAAAACAAATCCTACCATTTGCAACAACACAGATGGAGCTAGAGGGTATTATGCTCAGTGAAATAAGCCAGGCAGAGAAAGACAAGTACCAAATGATTTCACTCCTATGTGAAGTATAAGAACAAAGAAAAACTGAAGGAACATAACAGCAGGAGACTCACAGAACCCAAGAATGGACTAATAGTTACCAAAGGGAAAGGGACTAGGGAGGATGGGTGGGAAGGGAGGGATATGGGTGGAGAAACAGAAAGGGGGCATTACGATTAGCATGTATAATGTGGGGAATGGGGAGGGCTGTGCAACACAGAGAAGACAAGTAGTAATTCTACAGCATCTTACTATGCTAATGGACAGTGACTAATGGGCTTGTGGGGGGCACATGATGAAGGGGGGTGCCTAGTAAACATAATGTTCCTCATGTAATTGTAGATTTATGATACCAAAAAAAAAAAAAAAAGTCCACATCTACGTAAGACCACCAAGAATCAATGTGCATACAGGAAGGGGAGGGAAGCCCTTCTTTATAGTTCTTATTATGTGTGTGTGTGTGTGCAATAAACTTTGAAAAGTGTGCCAAATAAATAAATAAATAAATAAATAAAACAATCTAATGAAGGTAGAAAAGTTTGCCTGTGTAATTTCTCTAGGTCTCATCTAGTCCAATAAGATAAGGTCACCTAGAATTTAATTAGTAAAAATAATATTAAACATATCAACTGATGACAAAAACAAGTAATTTCCCCACCCACCTCTAAATCAGTCAAACATTTTTTTTTAGCAGTCGACAGAGGAGGTGAAGTAGACTGGTATGTTGTACTGTGACGTTTTTGTGATACTTTTCTTTCAATTTTGGACTCCAAGAGTGATTCAGATTCTTCTGTTTTCTTCACTATATGATCTAAAGGAAGGAGAAAAAAACAAAAGTATTGAAATTAAATTTTATAAATTCCTCATGACCTTTGCTATGAAAAAATGCTAATGTGTGTTATTCAAATCATTATGCTTGGGTTAAATAATGTTTCAACATGCGCAGTAAAGGACGACCCGAACTTAGGTCAGAGCCTCCAGCCGCGTTTGCCGCCCCGCTGAGCCCCCCACCCTGGCCAGGGTCACCTGGGGCCACCCACCAAGGGCACCGACACCCCCTGCAGCTGGTTTCGTGCTGCAAAGGAGCAGAGCACTGCCTGCACAGAGTCACCCCAACCTCCCCCACACACATTTTCTTCTAAATTACTTATTCTTCTAAGTTTAGTAATGAGAAAAATTTGAATTCAAATGTTGGGTACAACAGTTTTGAAAAAGAAAAGCAAACTATCCCCACCTAATGATTTTTTAAGTTTAGGAAACACAAAAGACAATATTCCTCATTATTTTTCACGTAAGTTCAAAAATTTTCACTTAAGATATATAATTAGGATTTTTATACAACTTAATGAAGTCCAAAACAGGACAACTTACAATATATCACAATCCGACCTCATTAGCACAGATCTAAGCACACAGACCAAACATGCTCCTGACATCACGGCCGCGGTCACACACCCACGCGGCCCCGGCTCGCTGGGTACTTTTACTTCTCAGTCTTAAATGTCCTCTTCTGGTTTTTCTAAAGATTATCTACATATAAAAATCAACCTTATCTAGTATTTCTGAGTTTGATGTGCGGTAATGTGTTAAAAACGTTATGTAATAATTACCTGCGGTCAGTGTAATCACCGAGTTCCACTAAGTGATTTCCCCTACTCAGCCTTGGCACAGTTCAGCCACCTTCATTTTTCTGGACACCAAAACTAAAAATCCAAATAATCACTGACCTCTCCTTGCACTTCCTTCCTCATATCCAAGGGAATTCTAATAGTAATAGCTTTGGAATTCCTTCCTTTCTCTCCAACCCCACAGCCACTACATTTCAGATGTTTTACTCTGACCTAAATTGATCTCCTTCACTCCAAATGACCTGACACAAAAGTGTGACCATCGTCCAGTACTTAAAATCGTTCAATGATTCTAGTAGTTAAGGAGAAAATTCTGAACGCTGTCTCTTGGCAAGCACTGGTTGTCAATACCCATCTGCCATGCAAACCAACCATCTCAGAAGTGCGTTTCTCCAGGGGTTTTTCTCTTTCACCCTCTTCATACGTGCTGCTCTCTTCAAAGCAAAGTTCCTGTCTATCTAGTAAATTCAAACCTTCCTCTGTGAAGAGGCTCCCTCTGCCCAACACGAGGCACGATTAAGCGCTCCTGGGGCTACCCCAGCACCTGCTCCAGACTCCGTCAGCACCCACTTGCTTTTACTGTAACTGTGTGCACCGATCTGCTTCCTCCCGTTACAGTATCTGTTCTCAAAGAGCACAAATCATGCTTTAGTCATGTGTTTTCCCAGTGCTAGAAACAGCACAATGTAAGGGCTCAGAAAATGTTGACTGGATTCATGAATCACATTACAAAAGGTAAAACTATACAACATATTTAAAAAAGACAAAACTACATGAGTGGAAGGGATGCTGTTACTATGTCACCTCTTAAAATGGCTGAAGTTTGCCACACAGAAATACTGATTCACTCAGATCTGGAAACATATGGACTCAGCCTCCCCAAACCTGCTACCAAGTACTAATGCCTGAGGTTGCAGAAAGCCGCTCCAGTCCAGAGCCTCCATGTGGTAGTAACCACTACTAGGAGGGCCATCTCACTTCTTAGGCTGGTTACATATAAAAATCAGTTTCTACACAACTACAAAACTAGAATGCAGCACTAAATAAAAATGTAGGCAGACAAGATTTGGAATTCAGAAAATATACACAGTTATCAGGAATACACAGCCAATTATTGGCATAATTTAATTTACAAAACTATCTTAAAACATTTTTCCCCCCTCCAAGTTTCTTCGGCCTTACAAACTAAACTTTTTCGGTACAGAAGAGAGCTTTCCCTTATAAACATATTTCATCAGTCTTGTAATCCCCATAGTATCTTGGTGCATCATTTTGCTCAAACATGTATCTGTATCGCTTCTCCGCCAGGAGCCTGCCTGCAGACTGACATTTAAAAAACCATTATCACTTCACTCCTGATCACATAAACACCCTATTCTCTCCACCACAGCTGTCTCATCATGTCTGTGTCATATTTTCTCAACTTCCTATCATTATTAACAAAGGGGGAAACAAGTGCACCCAGGTTTTGAGAGAATCTGAAGATTTTTACTAATAGAGAAAAATTATTTTACAATCTTGATCCCAATCTTGAACCCTTAACAAGGTTATATACAAGGTTCTGAAGGAAAAACAAATGGCAAAGAATGACAATAATTAGGAATTCTAAGAAGAAACTTTTTAAACCAATGTGACATGTAGGTATGGCAAATGATTGACAGTGTATGGGAAAGCAGATCTATAAAAAGACAGTAAGCATAAAAAATTAACATCAGAATTAAGAATATCTTTAGAATTCTATCTTCTATAGAAAAACAGTTGAGAAGATTATGGTAATTCAATGGAAAATTAGCTAATCTCAACCTATAGGCAGAAAAATAAAATGGCAAAAGACTTAAAACTTGACTGGTCCAGGAACGACAAATGCTTAACAAAGGGCTCATGGAGGTTTTACGAGCTGATCATGGAGGTCACTGTAGCGAAGCCATGACACAGCTGCCAAACCCCCACCACACTCCTCCAGGGAGGGACCTGACTCGAGATCTGTGTGACAAGCTTGCTTTCGCTGAACGCCTCTTTTACGGATGAGAATATAACATGTTCACCCAAGACCGCACAGTAGAGTAGGAATAGCAAGACTAAGATATTTCCTGCTGGATTTCCTAGCTAAACATCTTATTTCTAGGGATTTGATGTAAAAAAATAATAGATCAAATACATAAAATGAATGTGCTAGATTAATTATAACATATAATATTGAAATACTGAAAACAATCTAAATCATGGTAAATATAATGGGTTACCATGCATTCATTAAAAAATGATTACAGAGACTTGAACATAAAACTGTAAATAAGTCTACCATAGACACCCTCATCCATTTGATTTTAAACTTCCTTTAATTCAGTTTTCCAGGTTGATTTTTCTCTGATATCCCACTATCTTTTTTTTTTTAATTGAAGTATCGCTGATATATAATCTTACCTTGGTTTCAAAGATACAACCCAGTGGTTCAACAGTTACCCATATTATTAAATCCTCACCCCCTCTAGTGCGGTTACTATCTATCAACATAGAAAGATGTTACAGATTCAATGACTATATTCCCCATGCTGTACTACTGTCTCATGAGCAACTTCTATTGTGATTGCAAATTATTGTGTCCCTTTATCCCTCTCACCTTTCCCACCCACCTACCCCCTCAGTGACCACTAGTCCCTTCTCAGGTCTATGAGTCTACTGCTGTTTTGTTCATTCTGTTTTGCTTTGTTTTTATATTCCACAAGTAAGTGAAATCATTTGGTATTTGTCTTTCTCCTCCTGGCTTACTTCACTGAGCATAATACCCTCTAGATGAATCCATGTTGTTGTAAATAGGAGGATTTCTTTTATTTTTATGGCTGAATAATATTCCACTGTGTATATGTACCACCTCTTCTTCATTCATTCATCTATTGATGGACTCTTAGGTTGCTTCTATATATTGGTTATTGCAAATAATGCTGCAACAAACATAGGGGTGCATATGTCTTTCCAAATTAGTGATTTTATTCTCTTCAGGTGAATTCTCAGAAGTGGAATTACTAGGTCATATGGTATTTTATTTTTAGTTTTTTGAGGAACCTCCATACTATCCACAGTGGCTACACCAATTTACATTCCCACCAACACTGTAGGAGGGTTCCCATTTCTCTGCATCCTCACCAGCATTTGCTTTTTCTTGTCTTTCGGACATCCCACAATCTTTTAATGGGATTACACAAACCACATAATATAAAAAAGGAGAAAAGCAAGTTAAAGAACACTATAGTAGTATGAATGCATTTTTTAAAAATGGGTATATATGCATAAAAAAGTCTGGGATGTTACATATTAAGATGCTAATAACTGGTCAAGGGTTACTGGTCCTGATTGGTAAAGGGTGAGGGGATATTTTTCTTCTGTGTATAAGTTAAATAGTGCTAAATCAGGTGATTTAAATTGTAACCATAATGTAATTACACTACAAATGCAATTAAATGTTCATTCAGAGACTGTGTATAGTGTCTATTATTCTCTTTGACAAGGATGCAAAGAACAGGTGAGAAAGCAAGAAGTTTAAGAAATGAAAGAAAAGGTAGGGGAAAGAATGAGACATCTTAATTTATATGATTATGTAACTGTTATTACTCTACATGTTTAGAAAATATATAAAAGGACCAAACAAAAAAGCAACAGGAAATGTGATCTGACCAAAGATCATACTTGTTTACCAACTTTAATTTTATCCTAAAGAGATGCTTATCAATGTTAATAAGTACTGATACAGGGCTATAACTTATCAAAATTCATATTAAGTGCCACTTAAATGCAAAATAAAGGGAAAAAAGGAAAATAGAGAAAATTACCTCAGGTGGTAAGAGCTACAGAAAAACTGATTCCTTTTTAGAAAAATATTCCAGGTGCTATGCCAGTAACTACAGATCCTAGGGTTTGAAATCTCAATGTTTTAAAAAAAATTAAGGAAATACTAAAATATAATGCAATCTTGCAAATATATTCTGTGCTCATGGATAGGAAGAATTAATATTGTCAAAATGGCCATCCTGCCTAAAGCAGTCTATGGATTCAAAGCAATCTCTATCAAAATACCAAGAGCATTCTTCAAAGAACTAGAACAAATACTTACAAAATTCATATGGAACTAAAAAAGATCCCGAATAACCAAAGCAATCCTGAGAAGAAAGAACAAAGCTAGGGGGATTATGCTCCCTAACTTCAAGCTCTACTGCAAAACCACAGTAATAAACAATTTGGTACTGGCACAAGAAAAGACCCATAGATAAATGAAACAGACTAGAGAGTACAGATATTAACCCAAGCATATATGGTCAGTTAATATGCGATAAAGGAGCCATGAATATACAATGGAGAAAAGATAGCATCTTCAACAACTGGGTTTGGGAAAACTGAACAAGCTACATGCAAGAGAATAAAACTAGATTATTGTCTAACTCCATACACAAAAGTAAACTCAAAATGGATCAAAGACATGAATGTAAGTCATGAAACCATAAAACTCTTAGAAGAAAACATAGGCAAAAATCTCTTGAACATAAGCATGAGCAATTTTTTCCTGGACACATCTTATTAGGCAAGGGAAAGAAAATAAAAATTGAACAAGTGGTACCACATTACACTGTAGAGCTTCTCTACAGTAAAAGACACCATCAACTGAACAAAAAGGCATCCTACAGTATGGGAGAATATATTCATAAATGACATATCCAATAAGGGGTTAACATCCAAAATATATAAAGAACTTACGTGCCTTTCAACACCCAAAAAACAAATAACTCAATTAAAAAGTGGGCAGAGGAGCTGAACAGACATTTCTCCAAAGAAATTCAGATGGCCAAGAGGCACATGAAAAGATGCTCCACATTGCTAATTATCAGGGAAATACTAATTAAAACCACAATGAGATATCACCTCACACCAGTTAGGGCGGCCACCATCCAAAAGACAAACAACAACAAATGCTGGTGAGGATGCAGAGAAAAGGGATCCCTCCAACACTGTTGGTGGGAATGTAGATTAGTTCAACCATTGTGGAAAGTAGTATGGAGGTTCCTCAAAAAACTAAAAATAGAAATACCATTTGACCCAGGAATTCCACTCCTAGGAATTCACCTGAAGAAAACAAGATTCCAGATTCAAAAGGACATATGCACCCCTATGTTTATCGCAGCACTATTTACAATAGCCAAGAAATAGAAGCAACCTAAGTGTCCATCACAGATAAATGGATAAAGAAGATGTGGTACATATACACAATGGAATATTATTCAGCCATAAGAAGAAAACAAATCCTACCGTTTGCAACAACATGGATGGAGCTAGAGGGTATTATGCTCAGTGCAATAAGCCAGGTGGAGAAAGACAAGTACCAAATGATTTCACTCATCTGTGGAGTATAAGAACAAAGCAAAAACTGAAGGAACAAAACAGCAGGAGACTCACAGAACCCAAGAATGGACTAGTGGTTATCAAAGGGAAGGAGGTTGTGGATGGTAATTGGGGAGGGAGGAGAAGGGGATCAAGGGGCTCTGTAATTCACAATCATGATATAAGTAGGGCACACAGGGAAGGCAGCATAGCACAGAGAAGACAAGTAATGACTCTAGCATCTTACTACGCTGTTAAGACAGTGACTGCAATAGTGGCGGTGGGGGGACTTGATAATATGAGTGAACATTGAAACCACAATGCTGTTCATGTGAAACCTTCATAAGATTATATATCAATGATATTTTAATTAAAAACAATGCAATCTTTATGCAACAAGACCTGCAGTATTACTATAGCATTTCTCCTATGCCCAAGTAAACATAGAAGCTACAAAGTTTAGAGGTTGAATATACCAATATCCTTCTCCTGAAATTTATAGTTATTATCTGTGTAAATGAATCATAGATACATATATACAGTTGACCCTTGCATGACCCGAGTTTGAACTACCTAGATCCACTTATTCATTAATTTTTTTAACATCCATATAGCCCCTGTAACTGGCTATCAGGCAGCAGGTTCCACTGGTGATATGATCAATAGAAATGGAAAAAGAAAAATACTGTGCACAGTGGTCTGTCCAGGGATCGAGCCACAACTGCGGTGTTATTAGTGCCGCCCTCTGACTCACTGAGCAACCAACTGCTGTCTGGACCAGAGAGGAGCTCCAAGATCTAAGGGCAACAGGGGAAGCAAGTTCCAGGCAGGAAACTAGAGGAAGGAGGCTGGGAGTCTTTGCCCCGCCAAGTGCAACCCTCCCATTTTTTTCTACTTTTCTACCCTTTTTTGCATGTGAAGTTGAATGACCCCTTTGGTATACGGCAGGCTGTTACTAGTTTAAGGGGAGTCAAATTTTATCCATGGATTTTCTACTGCAGGGGGTTCGTGCCCTTACTACATATTTGCATCAGTATCAGTGATTTAAAAATTATTTTAATGCCAGTGTAAGTTTCCTTTCTTTTTTTCTTTTGGTATCATTAATGTACAATGACATGAGCAACATTATGGTTACTAGACTCCCCCCATCACCAAGTCCCACACACACACCCCATTACAGTCACTGTCCATCAGCGTAGTAAGATGCTGTAGAGTCACTACTTGTCTTCTCTGTGTTGCACAGCCCTCCCCATGTCCCCCCTTCCCACCTACATTATGTCTGCTAATCGTAATGCCTTTTTCCCCTTTATCCCTCCCCTATCTAAGTTTCTACTTACAATTTTTTTCCAACATCTTGTATCAGGTATGGTCTTTTTAAAATTCAGTGGTTACCCAATGCGTGCTCAATTTTAGAATCAAAACCATTTAAATCAAGAAAATTACATGACAGAAAACTGTAACACATTCAACAAAACTTCAAAGCTATAACCCATCTACAGTTAATATTTGGATCTTGAATTTAACAAAAAAGCTAATATAATCAAAAAGATTTCAAACTGTAATCACCTGAATGTGCAACGATTCTGATGATTTCAGGTCACAGTTAAATTTCCAAACCAGTTACAAATGTGATTTCCCACATATTTCTACTATGCCTGAGAATATTCTAAAGCTGGTATCATATCTATTTCTACCTTTCATACAACTACTTAAAACCCTTCAAAGGTTTAACAACTGAAACTGTACACTTACCCACACCTTGGGGCCGACATAACCTTACAGGATTATTTTCAAATTTTTGGACATGAGGTGGGTATTCATTCCTAGAAAAGGAAATTTATAGTTTTATTCTAACAGAAAACATTTTTCAAAATGAAAAAGTTGATGGAATACTTAAGTTTTTAAGAGCAAATAATAGCCTCTTGCCATATAAAAAGCAGTACTATAAAATAATAAAACTATATTGCACAAACATACTAAGTTTAATACATCTAAGATTGCTAGGGGCAGTGACCATAGTTCATTTTGACTGTCGATCTATGAGAGCCCACAGCAGGCAGACTTTCAAATAAATATTTAGTAATAATGAATCCAAATTACTATCCTTTCCAAGTAGTCACTTTGGGAAGTGACATATTTATTCCCCCAATGCACAAAACTTTGGAACTTTTCTTTTGGAACTGACTTCATAATCAGTTCATAAAAACCGCATTTAAAGAAAACTCATAATACTTTATTATCAACATACTTTTTCCGTAAAAAGTCACTCAGCTTAATAATACTCAATGTGCCTAATTTTGCTGTGAATGTTTTTTAGTTGTTGAAAAAAAATCTATGAGTAAAGGAATAAATGGTGCATAAAACACTCACCTTGAAGACAATTCCAAAATCAGAACAAAAAATGGCATGTTACAAAGTCAGCAATCATAGAACAAGTATTTTAGTCTTATGATTACATTATGGGGATATAATTACATTTAAAATATTAAATTACATTGTCCCATGTCATATACAATTGATTTTCAGAATTTTGAACACAATCCATATTAAACAAGGATTTTAAAAATACCACTTTAGTCCAAATATATACTTTGAGGAAAAGCAAAAAAAAACAAAAACAAAAACTATAGATAATTGTGACATAAAAGCACTGAAAAGGAGATCTGCAAAAAGTGCAGTAGAGCTCCACAGCCACTTTTCCACCCTAAATTAAAGCTTCTAAAAACATTCCCTTCAATATTACTCAGCCATAAGAAGAAAACAGATCCTACCATTTGCAACAACATGGATGGAGCTACAGGATATTATGCTCATGAAATAAGCCAGGCAGAGAAAGACAAGTACCAAATGATTTCACTCATATGTGGAGTATATGAACAAAGGAAAACTGAAGGAACAAAACAGCAGCAGAATCACCGAACCCAAGAATGGACTAACAGTTACCAAAGGGAAAGGGACTGGGGAGGATGGGTGGGAAGGGAGGGATAAGGGCGGGGAAAAAGAAAGGGGGCATTAACGATTAGCATGTATAGTATGTGTGTGTGGGGGGGCACGGGGAGGGCTGTGCAACACAGAAAAGACAAGTAGTGATTCCACAACATCTTACTACACAGATGGACAGTGACTGTGAAGGGGTATGTGGGGGGGACTTGGTGAAGGGGGAGAGCCTAGTAAACATAATGTTCTTCATGTAATTGTAGATTAATAATAAAATAAAATAAATAAAAAATTAAAAAAACATTCCCTTCATTTCTCCAGGGAATTAAAAATAAGAATTTATTCTATAATTTGTAAATTCATTCACATTAGTGATTATAATAACAAAGTGAAATATTTGATTAAACCAAAATCCTGAAGGCATTTTCCTGTAAGGCTTTCAGAGTCATGCTGTGTTAGTCAAAGTCCTAAATTGCACAGATGCAAGTGGCAGGAGAACAAGATGAGAGTAGACAGAGTGTCTGTAACAGCTGTGAGCAAACAGCGTCATGTGCCAGGTACAGTTCTGAGTGCTTTGTATCTATTGTTACTTCAATCCTCACAAGACCCTTAGAAGTATATGCTGTTTATTAGCACTTTATAAACGGGGGGGAAGCTGAGGCCAACGAGGTTAATTAACCTGCCCATTGTCACACAACTACTAAATAACAACACCAGAATCTGAATCATGGTAAACTACACCAATTTCTACATTGTCTAAATTTTAAGATTCATAAGGATATGAATTATGAAGATGAGAATTTGCCTTAAAGACAGGAGCACTACCAGTGAGTGCTATGAAAAAAGGTAGGTTTATCAGCTTCTAACTAAATTAAGCTTAAAATAAAACACATTTTTTATATTCCATGCAGTTTCACACTACCATCTCTTTAAATCAAATGATCGATTTTTTAATCTCTAATTTTTATTAACTGTCCACTTTGGAGAAAGACAGACACAAACTTCAAAATTCAACACAGGCAATGAATCCAAAGCTAAATATGATGATACTGTTAAGGTAAACTCCAAAAACTCCAGGTAGTGTGTATTTTTAAAACAGCTGACAACACAAACAGTACATATTCTTTAAAACTACTATAGATTATCAGCTAAGAAAATAATCGACAGAGTGGCCACAAAATCTAGACGTAACAGGTATGTTGGATTTCTCAGCTCCCACCTGTTTGACTACTTATCCTAGGGTGTTCTGGGATCTTCTGGGGTGTGCCATAGGCACAGGTTTACTCAGTAGGGACGGACATACACCAACTAAGGCTACGAATCACAGATGTGCAGGGGCTGATGAGAATGCTGCTTTAATGCTCTGTGCTCTTTGCCGTCGGACCTAGTGCACTGAACCATGAACTGCTAATGAGGAACAAGCAGTGACTGTATCATGTAGCATCCATGACCCTATCATGTCCTGTAATGTAGTGTTAATAAACTATTATGCATACTTGCCAACATTTCCACACCTTATAGCCAGTCTGTATCCAATATTTGCTACATTTCCCTACACACAGAAATAAAGTTGTATATTTAAAAGTTCATTATAATGAATAAGTTACAGAAATATAAGCATATCTTAAGTTGAATTTCAAGATAAAAGTAGCATTAGTTTGATAATTAAAAGAATTTTCCAGCCATAAGTTATCATGTGTTCTTTAAAATTTTGTTTAAAAAAATGGTTTGTTAAGTGATCAAAAATCAAATTTTACATTAATTTCTTGGTTTGAGGTTTCCATCATTCTACACATACTGAAATTTCAAACTCCAAACTGGTATGAAGTTCAAGTGTGGGACTTAATTCCTCAGTGGTTATTTTTTCTCACCTCAAAGAAGGGACAGAGAGGTGTCCATGTCACCTGTCATCTACAAGGTAAAACGATTCTTTTGCTTCTGAGGGTGTTCTGAGTAGAAGTTTGAGAGAAAACCTCACCTTAATGGACACATTTTACAAGATGTACAAAATAGCTGAAGAACTTTTTTTTCTTCTGTGCAGAATTAACATCAGACTGCCATGCTCATTAAATGTTAGATAGGCCTCAGCCCTCAGTCTTTTTTAAAAAATAAACTTAGTTTTGGAATTATTTTAGATTTGGCTAAGAGCTGAAAAGACAATTCAGACTTCCCTAATATACCTGTCCCAGTTCTTTATAATGCTCATTAGAACACCTTCATGACCATCATGTCACAAAAGAAATAGCACATTACTATTCACTTAATGCCAGACTATTAGAATTTCATCAGCTATTTCACTAACACCCCTTTTTTGTTCCAGAATCCAATCCAGGATCTAACTACACTTGGTTATCATGCTTCCTCTTTTGTTCTGCAATCTTACATTGTTTTTCATGACTCTGGCACCCGGGAAGATAACTGGCCACTTAGTTTGTAGAATGCCCCTCAGGGTGAATCTGTCTGGTGTGTTTCTCATGAGCAGACTTAGGTGGTGGGTTTGGGACAGATCACGGAGGTGAAGTGCCCTTCTCATCCTGACGTTATCAGGGATACATAGTATCAACACAATTTATCTCTTCAACCTTGATCATCTGGTTAAGGTAGTGTTATGCAGTTTCTCCACTCCTAAGTTACTAGTTTCCTTTTATTAGACCCTAATTGAAAGCAAGGCAGTCAGTCTAGCCCACAAAAGGGATGGGAGCAATAAGCTCCACTTCGTGAACAGTAGAGTATCTACATGTATTATTCAGAATTCTTCTCTAACAGCTGCCCATTTCCCCCAATTCATTTTACACAGCTTGTAAAATCCTAGGGCAGCTCAATAAATAAAAGATTAATTCAATCATTTACATCAATGTGATTCATGAACATTTATTTTATACTTTAGGTTATGATCCAATCTTGGAAGCTCTTTCAGCTGGCTCCTGAGTCCCTGTGAGGTGACCTCATTCTTTAGTTTACTCTAGGAATATGTATGTAACAAAATTTACAAGAATATGGAATACTCTGCTTGTCTGTCCATAATTCTTGTACAGGGGCCATGAAAATCTTCTCTAATACATGTACTGTTGAAGCAAGTACCCTTTTGTTCCCAAGCATGTGCCCGGCTTCTGACATGACAAGATGCTTCACACTGATTTTGCTCTCCCTACCCCACCCCTGAAATCAGCCACTTCCTATCATTAGAGAGTGGGGTTAGGAACCAGGATCTGGGTGCTGGGTATGTTTGTATTTTGCTTGGTTTTAATGATAGCTCTTTTTATTAATGTTTTTATTGCTCTAACTGATCTCAAAAGATGAAAATTTCTGTAAGATGTATCAAATGTATTCATTTTAGTCAAAATCAATTATTCCACACTCACGTAACTCATAAATCAGTGTAATTTTCAGAGATGTATTAAAATCTCCCACAGTTGTACTATAATCAAAAACTTTGCATTTAAAATATTTTAGGAGAGTTTTACACATTTAGGTGTTACTCTTGCAGACTGTGCCCGTTACAAAAATACGCTCCTCCTATTTAGTGCTTCTAATCCTTAATTCTATCTCATTTGTTATTACAATTCTGCTTATTGTTTGTTTGCATCTCTTGTAACTCTAAACACTGCTTTTCTTACAAAACGTTTTGTCTGACTCTGTAAACAATACAGCTGGCTTTAATCTAACCAGTTTGTCTTTTATAAAATATACTCAACCTAATCATAACTACAAGAGATTTCATGTTTTCCTTTCACTTCATGAATTGCTTGATTTTTATATTTGCATTTATTATTGTTTCCTCTTTCCCCTATTTGTACTGGATTGCACAATCATTTGTTTTCCCCCCTACTTAACAGTTACCCTTCCTCTCTCAACCCTATTCAGTTGTGAAGTTTTATCCATTAACATGTTATCAAGAATGCCAACTATTTTCTCAAGCAAGACGCTCTACTGCATCCTTATTGGGACGAGATCTGTAAGATCCTTGTACTTCCCCACCTTACCTCTCCGGGCCCTCTCCCCAAAAAGCCTTCTGCCCTTCTGCCTCCCCAACTCCTAGGTTTTGCTTGAGGCAGCTCGGAATACTGGGCCACAGGCTAGTACTGATTTTCCTTCATAGCACAGCTCTATTTGAAAGTGGAGCAAGCTCAGCCTTGAGTGTCTTTAGTCTAATTTGTGCCAAATTATAAATCATAAAGATTTTTTTTTAATCTCAAAGATTTATCAGGTAATGACACTTCTTTACCTAAAATGTCTCGAAAATTTCTAATGAGTGTACTTAATAAAAAACCCAAACCCTTCAGATCCACTGACAAGTTTATTTTATGGTCTAGGTCCTGGCTGACCCTCACTAAATTCACCTGATAACATTTCCCCTTTGCTTCCAGCTGAAGCCATAGGGGCCCTTCTTTCTGTTCTTTGAACAGCTAATCTCCTTCCTGCATTGGTAACCTAGCACCACCTCCTCCCCGTCCGGAAAAGCCATCTGTGATCACAGCATGGCTGACTCCTCATTTATTCCTTGCTTAAATGTTACTCTGCAGAAGAGTTTCTCTGACAGGCAGTCTGAAGGGGCCAAGCTACCATTACCATCCCATTCAATCACCTTTCACCCAGGACTCGTCATTTCATGTCTCCCTTGTTCATTATCAGTCTTCGTGCATCCAAATGTTGACTACAGGAGTGCAAGGGTCTTGTCTAAATACTTGGAGTGAGTAAACATGTATAACTGAAAGGCAGTAAGCAACCAGAAGTTTATTTATCAGGTCAAATAATTGTACAAACATTCCTGTACAGGGATGGTAATGTCAAGACTGAGCCTCTGGCTGCCATGCAGAGCCGTCATACAGTAATTTAAAAGGAATGAATCTGCCACCTGATACACAAGTAGTCTACTTCACACATCTGAAAGGCACCGTAAACTTGTATTTGTTGTTTGGACGGTTTGGTTGGGAACTGATATACCTGGACTCCACTTTTACTGTCTTACTTCCTGCTCTCGTTCTAGTGTTTCCATAGTTAATCACTGTTTTCTTCACAGTATATTTTATTGTGCAGCAAGACAAGTCATTCTTTTCTTCCCCATTTATTCTTCTTTTAAAAGAGTAACTGTTGCTCCTCTTGAATATTTACACTTCTAAATAAACTTTAGAATCAACTGGCCAAGTTTCTTAAAATAACAAAGTCCCTAAGATTTTGACTAAAACTGCGTTAAATTACTTTAAGTAGCACTGGTATCAAAAAACCAACCAGGAACATACACTATAAAATGCAGATTAGGTTCTTTAGATACAATTATAAACGGTTTTCACATCATTAATTACTAGATATTTTAGTTGCTACTGTGAATTAAATTTTTTTCTTTCCAATATATACTCCAACTGATTAGAGGTGAAAATGAAGTAAATTTAATTATTAATACTATTAGTCTTGTAGCCTGTCATCTTGCTCAACTCTTACTTCTAAGGTTTCAGATGACTCTATAATTCAAAAGAAGACAGTATCATCTAAATATAATTTCATTTTCAGATCTTGAGACAGCAATTTTCATATTATAAATTGGTACCACCTCTCTGCAAAAACAATTTTGCAGTACTTTATCAAGAGTAAAAACGTTTGTGACCTGGCCCAGACTTTTCCCAGAGACTCATTTTGAGATGCATTTAGAAACATATAGGCTAAGTTGTTCATCAGTGTGTCATATAATAGTGAAAAACAACCTGAAATGGGCTAATGGGTAAATAAACTATGTATATCTGTAGGACAAGCTATTATTCAATCATTAAAAATCATTTTTAGAAGGCAACAGGAAAAATGGTAGGACACACTGTCAGGTGAATATTCAAAATAAGATGGGAAAGAAATCCAACAAGAGCCTAATAATGTAATTTTCCATTTTGTGAGCTTCAAAAAAATTATAAAATCTCCAATTATACTTGTCTTTTCAAACACATCCTTTACATAAATGTCTAACAGTTTGTGTAACTTCTTTTATTACATTCTTTTCACCTTTCTACCATTTTGTTTCAAAATTCTCTATAATATGCACATACTTTTTACAACAAATGGGTCAACAGATTATTTATGGAGGAAGAAAAACTCAGTTCAAATCCCAGATTAAGTATTCCTGGTCACTGGTGCCACGACTTAGTACCATGCTCACGACTCGTCCGTCCACGAGTCAAAAAGGGTTTGAGTCATTCAAGCCATGAGAGTCACCCACAACAAAGAAAAATGGCAGCAATATTTTTTTTTTTGAGTTTTCAAGCTCTGGGTATTAATATTGTTATTTATTATTTATTTCAGATTGGTTTTAAACTTAGACCACACCTTACTGTGTCCAGTATACAGTACAGGAGGAAAAACCTTGGAAAATAGTAATCATTCACAACTACCTAACTTGTTTATTAGATAAACCTTCTCTTATAAATAAATCATTGACTTCAGAGATTTACAGACCCTTGTGTTAAGAGATAAAGATAAAGAATTTTCTATTACTCTTTAAAGATTAGAAAAAAGATGTGGCTTAGTGTTCACAAGATGGGAGGAAAAGCTTATGTAAGAAGAATTTACAAAGTAAAATCTACTGGTGCAAAAGTACTTCTCAGTTTCTCTGACAAAGCTGAACATAAGATGATTTTAAGTAAGGACCCAAAGGATTAATGGGCCAAGTTCCACCTAACAGTACCTAAGCTGCTGAATAATGTACTCAAGTGTATTCATTATAAGACATTTTATAAACAATTGCTGCTTCATATCTAGTCCCTGGTGGTAATCTTATTATAAAAGATGGAAAGAATTTCGGTAACTATTACTATTACAGAAATGTCAAATTTTACAGTGTATAAGTCAGTTTTAAGTAATCAATTTACTTTTTCTTCAAAAAATTTCCTTAAAAATTGGGCAAATGTTATTCCTGTTTTAGAGTAAGTGATGTGCCTACTGGTATTGCCGCTTGCTTACCGTTCCATTTTCTGATTCCCGTTACAGTATTATTCTAACTAGAATGTAAGCCCAAGAGGATAGGGGTTCTGTTCTGCTCACAGAAGAGTGCCTGGCACATAATCACTGAAATATTTGCTGAATGTATCAATTAATAGATTATCAATTAATACAGTACCAATTAATACATTAATACATTTCTGCTACAGAAAAATGAGTAAGAAGTCAAAACACTGGAAAAAAAAACAATTATAAACCCTCCAAGGCTATTGTGAAAGAGAGAAATACTCTAAGATCTTTATAGTATTCTGATAATAGTATAATGATAATTTCATCTACTACAGCATACAGGAAAATATTTGTTTATTTGTACAAGAGTCTGTTTCATACGTTACTGTATGAAGAGCATTTAGTGTATATTCTTTACAGTTTTATTAAAAACATCTTACTAATGGCCCTCCAAAAAAAGTCACTTATGACTCAAAAATTTAAAAGATGTAAGTATCTGACAAGAAATAATGGTTTATTCAAAGAGAAAAATAGACATAATGGGAAAATAATTTTTCTGTCCGAGGAGATAGGTAGGTAAAATACTTATATAATCCATCCATAAAACATGTAATTGTGAATCATTTAAGAATTATAAAATATGCATAAACTTTTTGCTGACAGGATCATCTTCAAATTTGTATTTCAGAAACTTGGTTTACATAAAGTAAGATGGAGTAAGTGCATGTATTTCATAGAGTTAAAATTATATAATTTAAAAAAAGTAGAATGTTCCTTCCTTTGACCTTCAAAGATTATATGAAAAGTACATATGAGTTTAAAAGAAGGGCTGTTAACTTGTTTTGGTGGGGAGGTCTCATAAAAAGCAAAAGTAAAAAAAAAAAAAAGAGAGAGAGATACGTATACATACAAAAATTCTAAATATGTACATTGAGAGAAGTCTTAGGGACATTTGCTTTAGAATAATTATAACCATCACTATTTAAGGAAGTGTGTGTTCTTAAAAAACTCACTTCTATGTTATTTACATTAACATTTCTGTGTCTGCTAGTGATATTACAAAGGGAACAAACAAACAGTGATCATAAAATTCTGTTTAAAATGTTTGGGTCAGAAGAGGAGTAATCTGACGGTCAGAGCTTTAACTCTGAGTTTAAGATTAAGATGCTCTAATTCCCTCCTCCCTCACTCTACTGAAGTGTAAAAACACAACTATTATCACTAAAATGTAACAAGATTTTAATGAAAGCAACTTTACTAATGCATTAAAATACTCTATTTTTAAAAATAAGGTGGTCACAAGTCAGTATGAATTTACAATAACCATTAATGGAAAAATGCATACTAAGAATTATGGTGAAAACACTACCCACATTAAATCAAATACCGGGTTGTACTATCACTGGTTCCTTTTATTAAAATAATTAACAAGCTCTAATGATAAACTCTAATTCAATGGATACTTTTCAAAGCATAAAATAATCTGATATCTTACTGTTATATCCATGGTCTAATTTCATCAATATTAAGCTTACCTTTCCTTTTGGTCCAGATAGCTTAAAACATTAAAAAGAAAAAAAATGTAAGAGGCAAGACCTCATTTTTGATACAGCATTGTAGTTTTAGTAAACTGCAGTCAACAGGCAAAACTCTATAATTTATTTTAAACACATTTTATATATATACTACATACTATGTTTTGAATCTTGTCAGATATGTAAATTGCTCTTCAGTTTTTGTCAATACAGAAAACAATTTATATCTAAACATATCTTAGGAAGAAAAAGGATGTACAAAGGTATGAAAAATTCTTGAAAGAGCTTTATTTAACCAAACATTTGAGGATTTATGTTACAAAGTAGTTATGTGAATGGTCTTCAGGGAACAATACAATATCCTGAAACTAATAAAATTTTAGTGTTTCTAATCATGTTATCAGATATGATTATTTGCTTCTGAGTAAGAAAGAATTTTTTTTATAAAATTGAAATCTTTACACAAAAGCCTTAAATACAATATATGGCTTGAGACATGGGAAAGGCCTGGGATTTAAAATTATGGCCTCTAATGAAAAATCCTGTGTATAAAGATCCACCCTTTCCACAGTTCATGGATAATCTAAAAAGCTACCAACACCAATCACTCAAGAGCAAAATTTAAAAACCCTAAATTTAGAATAAGATTCACATCCCTGGGTTATTTCTGTTTATTATTAAAGAAACTAAATATTCAGAACTGAGTGTAAGCAAAACATAGTTTACAAAATTCCCATTATTAACTTTTGTATTCCTATCATGTGGAGTACACAAGTAAATATCAACTTAATCCTAGGAAATCAAGAAAAGGAAACACAGTAACTTGGTTTTACATAAACAACACTGAAAAGAAACACTTATTGTTAAGAGAAATTTTCAATAGTAAGGAAAGGAATTATTACAAGCTTACAGGACTACTGTATTTGAAATAATACCTTTGCTATTAAAAAATGAGATAAGCTGCTTAAAATAAATTTACATTGGATAAATAACAGAAAAATGAGGGAATGTTATCACAACCCTATTAAAGTATGTGAAACAAAATGTAACATGAAAATTTAAATATAATCAGTCTTATCATACATATTTATTTCTCATGGAGTTATATTTCCAGGAAAAGTAAAATGAAAACAGAAGGTTAGACCTAAAGATGTAACCTAGCCATTTCCAACTCTGCATTGTTGTACTCAAGAAGTGAGAAGAGTTTACTACTGTTTTTTAAACTCACCTGTATAGAGAAAAGAAAATGGGTAGAAGACAGAGTAGCAGTAGTAGAAGAAACAGGTTTGGTTCTTTCCAATAAACCAAGGGAGTTAGGAAGAAAACAAAAAACAAAACAAAAATATATATACACCCATGTTCATTTATCTTATCCTTGAGAAAAATTAATTTATTTATAAAAATAAATAAATAAATTCATTTATATGACATGATATCTAATTTTTAAGTCATGGCATTTCAACAAGATTCCTCAGTGTTTTTATTACCAAGTCCTGCCCTAGAAAATCTTACATATTAAAAAAAAAGCTTTTTAAAAATTGGGAAGGAAGCTATTATTACTAATGCTGGACTCTAAAAAACATCAACTTATATTCTTATGGAACTATTATTCCATTCTTGAACTAGTACTATACTAACACTCTTAAAATTAAAAATAAAAGGAAGGAGAAAAAGACAGACTGATTCTGGCATCATGACCTGATTTAGGGCTTCAAAAATTGTTTCAAAGTAGTGCTTTTCCTTAATATTAGATCTTGCTTCTTTGAGGAGCCCATTTTCCCATTGATGAATCATAGGTATATGTATTATCATACATATATGTATATATGCATATATGCTCTTGTAGATGTTCCCCATGGTCCTTATAGGTATGATGTGCTTGTTCTCATATCTCACTAAAGAACTAAAAATCATTCAAAATGCAGGTCTGATCTACTTTAAAGACACCTCAAGAAGAAAAGAGTGTATGAATTACTGAATGGTGGTATTTCCTTTTAATTTCAAATAAAAGGTTGAGAAAATAAAAAATCAGGAGAAACTGTAAAAGCCAGTTCACCCACATCTGAGGCCTAACAACCAGGCCGACACCACACTAAATACAACAAAAGGTTTGGTCACAACCACTGTCAGAGAACCATCTCCCTTCACGCCTCAGGTGTGATTTCTACTGCACGGAGTGTCCTCTTCCAGCTAGTACACAGCTTCAGTACCTCCTATGTGAATTTTTCACTGCTTCCTTCTCTGTGAATCGTCCTACACATACACTGTAAACATCTACTAACTGCACTTACCACCTAAGCATTTATTTTCCTGTCTTTCTGTCCTCTATCCTAATCAAACTTGAGCTTCCAGTAGGAGTCTGCCATATTCATCTCTGACTACTCTGTCCCTCATCTATGCCTGGTCTGTAGTATAACATCACTCACTGTTTATGAAGGAAGAAAACTGCCATATTTTTAAAGATAGTCACACTGTAGTAGGAAAAAGAAATGTTTATTCTATAAATAAGAGACAAGCATCTGCAGAATCTGTCCTGCTGACATGACTCTTCATGGTTTTCTTACTGGCTTAGTTGTTCTTATCAAGTATTTTCACACAACATTGTTCCCTTACATGCAAATTAATTCAGGTTTTTTAAAAAAAGAAACAATATTTTACTATTAATTATCACTTCCTATTAACAGAATCTAATCTTTTAAGCAGATGAGCAATGATACACATGCATGTATTATATGTGCTGAGACCTAGGACAAAAAACAAAAACCAATTTCCAGACTGTAATCAGTTTTTAACATTACCAATTAGGAAAGGAGGGATGGGAAGAACAGGTCACAGTGCAAACAGTTTCAAACTATTAAATAACTTCAAAGGCAATAATAATTTTAGTTGCAGAATATATCACTTGATTGTAAGTTATAAATCAGTATTTCAACTTGGACCACATTTTTAGAATATCAACAAGACATCTACATCAACAATGGATTCTATAAATGTGAGCAGTGTGTGAGAAACAGTGTGTGTCCCCCAACCCAATTAACTCTTTTATTATTTATTCTCATGTTTGTCCCACATGCAGGCCAGAGGACCTGACTGCTTCTGTATTTTACAGAAAGGCAACCCTATTTTTTGGTATATCCAGTAATTTCTTTCCCTTTTTAGTTGTATTTCTCAAATATCTTATGAGAAAACTATGACAAAATAGTATATTTAAGCAAAAGAAAGGTTTTCCTATCCTAAAGTATAAGAAAGATTTAAGATTTTTTAAGTAAAAAATCTACACCATAGCAAATCTATGTAAATAACAAATATAGCAAGGGTTTTTAAGAGTTAGGACACATTTTATGAGTGAGCAGCATCGTAGATTGCCATTTTTAAAAAAATGAAGAACAGCATCTAGCATATATACGAAATTTTCTAATCTTATTAGATATAAAAAATTTTATGCAACTATTCATAAGAAATAGATTATTATTATTATTTATGTAATTGTTGGAGCTTAAGAATTTCTTAGTCAACTGAAACTGACTCAAAATGGAAATTCAGCTTAAATTCTAAGGTTCAAGTAGTAGTTTCATATCAATGAGAATTTCTCAAGCGTTTAAAAGTAATAATGCGATTTATTTTGAAAATATGAAATCCTATAAACCTTATAAAGGTAATAACTGTAGTTTTACTCACACTTCTCTATCCAATGTTGTAAAATATCAGCCTAATTTAACCAGGATATAATAAAAATAGCATGAATTTTACTTAAAAAGTCTCTACTTGCAGAATGTATTTATTCACAAGCAGATACAAGAATAAAATTCTTGGACATGAATTATTTCAGAGACATGAATCTCTCTTTATAATGGAAACACAATAAAGTTCCACAAATAAAAAGAAACAGTTAAATACTCCTATTAACAAGGATGGTTTTGTATACACTGAACAAAGGTAACTGGAATCCTTACCTTTGGGCTGCGATTTTTACTATTGGTATGTGAGCATTAGCATGATGAAAATGTCTGCCATGAACCACAGTTGCAGAACATAATGGCGCACTTTGTCTGTTCTCACTGCAGATGCAAGAAACAAGAATGATCTGAACAGAAGAAAATTACATACACATATGCCAAATAAATCTTTCAAAACACAAGCACATGTATAAAAAACTTTTACTTTAAAGATACGTTTATGGATTAACCCATTGGCCTTGTTACTCTGCCCACCAGGAGTTACCCACATTGTACATTTGTGTCTGAAATGTTTCCGATACAGTTCATGAAAGAAAATAGAGAGGACACTAGAATATAAATAAAGAATTCTAAATGAATATTTTCAAATAAGACTTCCTATATATATTTGGATATATTTTCTCTCCTTATTCTCTACTTAGGGACTATCTATAAGAAAGGTTTTAAACTATGAGTATTATTACAGTTTTCTTGTATGCCAAAATAAATATAAAATACGTTATTGTTAAAAAAAAACAAAGGTCCTAAATTCTACTGGTTCTGCCAATGACTCGAAAAAGTGACCTTGCTTCTAATATACCTTGTTATCTATAAATTGACAAAATAGAAATGAAATGATTTCCAATCCTATTTCTGAGAGATTTAACAGTCCAATATCAGTAACAGTGGCTCACTCTGAAAACCACTAGAAGGGTGGGTTATATTAGAAGAGAAGAGGAATAAAAACTCTTAAAAAAACAGAAGTCCCTCACTGAGATAATCCTGGTAAGCACCCCCTGAGGAAGGCACCCCACACCTCCAGCGCACAGTCTTCTAGTACTTCTTCAAGTACTAGAGATCTTTAAGGACGCCCCAGATTTCACTACCTGTACCCAAGTAAGTTCATTGTAGAAACCCTAGCCTGCGGACATTCTTGGGAAGTAACAAAATGACTGCTGCGACTCTACCCTCAGGAGTCAGGGGACCCGCACCCTGGGGCCGCTCCACCTCCCGGCCCTGCGGACAGTGAAAAGCAAAGGCATAGGTTGGGCCAACTGGCCACAAAGGAAGCTAGTCTGGGGTATTAAATTTATCTTTTCTGTTGAGTGTGTGGTCGAGCGCCTATACCTCAATTTCTTATTGTTGCTCAACATGTTAAGTCCAGTTGGGTTGCCTTTCAAAGACTAAACTCTCAGTCTTGTTTCGTCTTGCACATGTCTTCCAGGGATCACCAGAACTAGTAGGAACAATGTCAGACTGACGATTTAACTGTGAAAAGATCCATAAATGTTAGAGTCAGTCAATGCCACAATATGAAGACTTATCTGAAAACCCACTTACTAAACAGTAGTAAAAATGTATCAACTACTGGGGATGGGGGAGAGGGAGGGCACTGGCAAGGGTCTGAGAGTAATTCCACCGAATGTCTTCTTTTCCTAAGGAAAACACAAATATGTGTAGGAACACTGATGTTGATATTACTTTCTTTTCTATCTCTAAAGATATTTTTGAGAAAATTTTAGAGAAAAACACAAGGGATGAGGGTAGCAGGTCTTAGTATAGCTCTTTCCTGAAAGTAAAAGATAAACATTCATTTGCTTAAAAGGCACTGCTATCAACAGTACGGTATAGCCAAATACAGCAGAAAGCTGTCCTTTCACTGGCATAAAAACTTACACACAAGCCAGAAATCTAATGTCTTCATACTTTCACAGTCACACATGGTAACGTCTGTGTATCAATATCAAGCACTACGGCACCAGAATGGCCCATTCCTTGGGAAGCTCTTCTCAACAAGGTAACCCACTCTTATTACATTCATTAAGAACAAGACATTTAAAAGCTGCTTTCAGACTCATTAGGACAAAGGTCCTCAGTTCTTAGTGACCAATTACCCAAGACATCCAAAAATTCATCCTTATCTGATTCTATTTTTGAAACAATAACCAAACTTTTATTTTCTGTTTTACTCTCTCAAGAGAATATGGGCATAAGAAGATAGCGACTTGGCTTCCCCATCCCCAAACATGATCTCCACTGAAACCTAACAGTTTCTTTAAAAAATACCTCCCACAAAGAAATTCCTCCTGAGGACAGAGTTCTGTACCATTCTTGTTTTTCCGCCTATCTGTATTTCAAAATTCTAAGACCTGTTTCTGATAAGCTGCTTATCAGTTCCTCCTCCTGGTGACATTAGTTAGTAATCTTTAACAGCCATGTATTTCAGACATGTCCACTTTTGGTAATGACAGATTAGTAATAAAGAAGATCAATTTTCCCATCTGTAAGTCCGGGGAGAGGAAATCCCAGGGCAAAAGACCTCTAAAAATTGAAATCAAAGGGAGGAATAAAGCTTAAAACCCGTTTATTGCTTACAAACGGCAGTCCACCACCGTCTCTCTCTCCAGTGCTCTGGGTGAAGCAGCAAGCCAAGTCCGGCCCCTTAGACTGTTAGGTTCGGACGCGCCCTCGGTTGCCCAGGTAACTACCGTATGACTCGAAGATGAACTCTCCACCCCCGAGAATATGCAAATGAACCAAAGCCACGCGAGATAATCTGAAAATGTTACAATTTTACCCACACCATCCCTCTACTCTCTGGAAATAACTAGAAAAGGTGTGTAAAATACAAAAAAAAAAAAAATCTGAGGGCTACCGATACCGAGGCAGTGGAGAATTAAAAATTAATATCAGGGACAAGATTCTCAGAGATCTAAGCCCAGATGTGTATTTTCCCTGGGGCATCTGTTGCTTCCAGAAGATGTAGTTGAGAGGAGAGAAGGTAAACTGAACTTACAACAGACTCAGAAGTAACTAGGGAGAAAAAAAAGTGGAGTTGAATATACACGAAGTTTGAAGAGCCTTGAAAATACTCAAAATCTGATTAGGATTATAGCCTATGAATAAGGGCAAATCAGAACTATAACAGCCCTCACAGAGACTGAAATCTAGCTTTTCCAATCATCTCAATCTCCAGTTCAATTAAGGTCTCAAATTTTGGAGTAAATCAGAATTAACTGGATGGTTTATTAAAACAAATTGCTATGTCTGATCGTTACAGTTTATTCTTATTCAGGAGGTCTGGGGTGGGCCTGAGAATTTGCATTTCTAGCAAGTCCTCAGGGGATGTTGACACCGCAGATTGGGGTCACATTTGGTGAACCATTGAATGAAAGCGATCTGAGATTGCTAATGCTCCTAATCACTAGCCAGAAGTAGACATATACCCTTTAGAGGATGATAATATCATCTTAGGCCTCAAATTATCTCTGATTTTTCATATGCAGTATCTACCATTCATAAGCAGACTCATGAAGAAATGAAACAATGTGCTCAAAACCAAGAGCAACAACTGGTAACAGAACTATAGGAATAAACATAATGGGGCCAATAGACTCTTTCATCATTTCTGTTAGTATATGGCAACCCTTTTTCACAGAAAGCATAGTGTGATTGTGGAAAGATAACAATTTAGGAATCAAACAAAACAATTTGTTTTGGCTTTTTAGCCAAGTAACTTTCCTTGTAATTATGGGGTTATTTTCACTTGTATTAACAAAGATAAACAAAAATGCCTACCCTAGGAATTCAGTAACTATTAGTTCCCACTCAGCTAGAAACACAGATTATCTCCAATTAGAAAGCCCAGAAATTATTTCATCATCAACAATTGGTCATTAAGTTGAATTCAGCTGAGAAAAATTAGGCTTATCCAGCATCCAGTTGCTCACTGTGACCTCAGCCTATTCCCATGCTATTTTTTAAAAAATGCCCCAAGTCAATGTTCTCAAAGTGTAGCATCTAGACCAGGAGCAGTAGCATCCTTTGGGAACACCTTAGAATGCAAATTTCCAGGTCCTACTTCAGAGCTCCTCAATCAGAAACTCTGGGAAGGGGTCTAGCAATCTGTTTCATCAAACCTTCCAAGTGATTCTTCTGTAAATAAACACTGGAAAGCCACTGCTCTATAGTGATTTTGATATATACCTTGTTAAGAATCTCAGAATCAAAAAGTTTCCATGAAAGATGGTCATATAATTTCATCCCTTTCTATACAGGTAATTACAGCAACTAATATTTATTGAGTGCTTAGTATGAACAGGCATTATGCTAAGTACTTTAGAGTTAATATTTCACTTAATCTTCATTTTTATGCATTTCAGTAGCTCTTCAGATTGGGAGTCCACAGTCACACCTAAAACATCAGGTCAGTTACTTGATGCTGAGGAGTGACAGAATCAATCCATTCCAATTCCCACTGCAGTTCTCCTTCCTCAACAAAATCTCTCCAACCATTATGTTATTTAAATTTTATTGAAACCCTATCCCTATGTTATAAAGATCACTGAGCTTAAAAAAGCAAGGTAACTTATCCAAACTAGGCAAATGGATTTGAACAAAGGCTGGTCTGACTCTAACGCTTCTACACTGCATGAGGAATTTTTTAATTCTTGTAGAAACAAGAAGCAAAAACAATGTTATTCCAAAAAAAGACTCAAAATCATCAGGATGCAGAATTCCTCAAAATCAAAGGAACTGTATTAAATATTCCTTCATCTAAATGTAAAAAGTTAATTCCTCCTCTTAAAAATTGGGTCAAGCCAAAATTATCTCACTGGATACACAAGCATGTAACTCAGCCAATTCAACAGTATTTCTGATTAAGTGCTTACACATTTTCAAAAAATTTTTTCAGAAGGCATTTGGGCATAATAGAGAACAAGAAGCTCATCATGAAGCGACTGCAACTGCCAAATTCTTAAATTTCTCTATTCTGTTGCATATAGGTTACTATCAAAAGCTACATATACTTTAGTCAGCAAAAAAAACACCCAGTATTTCTACCTTTGCCAGATAACTGTATCTCATGAAAAATATTTATGATATTGTCAAATTGTCTTTGAAAAGGTTCCTTACAATCTGTTACACTAAGAAGTTAGCTGTGTGTCTTGGGGGATGGAGGCAGGAGGTAGACACTCACACTATAGGAGGAGCATAGTATGTAAATCTGTAAGATTTTATCACACAATTATAAACTTATAGGATGCAATTCCAGCTGCCAGAAAATTAAGAGATAACTGTTGAATTAAGTACAACACATAAATTATTTTAGATGCCTGGCATATCTACTTCTCTCTGCCTAATTGATAACTTTTATTTTCCTTCATTTTCTTTGTGCTTTTAACTTGGTACTCTACATCAAACTTGCACTGTGTGGATTACATAATTCTCCAAGCTATCCTATGAACTGGATATTTATTGCAGGCCAAAAATCTGATATTCTGTCTGATTAAAACTACTTTATAATATATGACATAATCATAAAAGCTGTATGTTTGTTTCAATTAATTATCAACTGACAGTTACTAGAAATTAAACTGCATAGGAACAAGACACTAGTTTGTTTTCCTCTCACATCTAGAACACTGTGCTTAATATGTATTTCCTGCATGAATGAATATTTCATTGGGACTGTTGGATGTACAAAAATTAGTAACATGTGGTATCTTCCATACAAACATAAGACACATCAGTTAATTAAAAAGCAAGTATTCAGGAAATTTAGCACCTAAGAACTTCAGCTAATAAAATAACTTTAAAAATCTACTCAACAAAAAAATAAAAAATAAAATAAATAAAATAAAAATCTACTCAACAATTAAGAGACATTGAAACTGTATGCTAAAGGCATTTAAACTCTTAAAAACAAAATGGAAACTAGTTTTTAAAGAAAAAACTATAGATGCTATGGAAAAAAACAAAATTCAAAAGAGAACCAATAGAAGTTCTACAACTGTTAAAGGTCACTGAAATTTTTTAAGAAATGGATGGATTAAATAGTAGATTAAATACAGCTGAAGATTAAAGTTAGTGAATTGGAAGACAAAGCTGAGGACATTACTTAAAATATGATACACGAATGATTTCTCTCTTTGCCCTCTATTCTTTTTTTCTTTTGTTTTCCTTTTATATATAAAATGAAGGTTAAGAGATATTAAAAAAACAATGGTATTATTATGTTTAATAAAAGTACAAGAAGAATGTGGAGAGGCAATATTAACAGAGATAATGACTAAAATTCTTTCAGAATTAATGAAAGACATGCATCTTATCTAAAGAGGCATGATGAAACTGTTGAAGCCCAAAGGCAGAGCTCATTCTGTGAATCACAAGGGGAAAGAATACTAAAACGCTCTGAACCAACACAAAGGCTTTTTCTCTTAATTCCACGCTCATTTTCAAATGGAGAAAAGGGGCTACATTAGTTTGAAATAATGATCCATATGGACTTATTTATTATTCACAAGCCATTAAAAAGCCAGGGATATGTAAACCTCTGGGATACAAAAAGACTTTCTAAAGGACAAACAGGCATGGATAGTTTTAAGGAAATCAACTCCTAAATCCTCAATATACATTTTCACAATTTCTTAAAACTGATTTACTTTAAATCTCATATGTAGGAAAGGCATCCTAAATATCTCCTTTCCCATTTCCCCTTTCACAACACACATATTCCACTTTACAGAAGAAAGATATAATTTTACAGAAGAAAGATATAATGTCTACCACCTGCTGAAATTAATAACTGGAACCTCTTGGTTCATGTCTTTCTGTGTTTTATATATATTTCTGCTAAAGGTGAATCACAGGTTAGACACTGGGTGTTCTGGACCACAGTAGGATTTTCTTAATTCAACTATACTAAAAAATGGGAAAGCAAAAGTGATGAAAATTTTCATTCACTAACTTTGTATCTTCTACTCCAATTGTTATCAAGAAAAGCATTATCCCAAAGAGAAAATCAAGTGAGAACAACTCAAAGAAAGCATAAGCTTAAAGGAAAAAGGGCCAAAATCTGCTGTGCCTTCTTACCTGGTAAACACAAGTCTGTTGAAACCAAGGCCATATTTTTCTACATTAGAATTCTGAACTGAAATGGTTGTCATGAAGATGCAAATTAACATGCATATTTAAAATGAAAACAGATTATAGATAAATGCAAAAAAAATACAAAATGTTTTATTAAAATTATTGTATTAAGAAAGGCATCCTGAAATTTACAAGATTTCAATTTTTCCCATTATATCTGAAAGTATCTGGTAAAATAAACAAATAAATGTAACAAATGTAATTACTAGCCACTCGTTAAGTCTTGATAAAGCCATTTTAGAATATTCTCCCCAATTTCAGAAAGCCAGTGACTCAAATGACTACATTACAAATTATTTTTAACTTTTAAACATTACATTTAATATGTGAATTTTGGCAGTTAATAAAAAAGGAAAAACTGAATGATAATGCTAGACTACAACTCTTTCCATATCTATCCATTTATTATATGACCAAGATTTCTCAGCACTTGTATCTAAAAATAAGTTTAAAAGGAAAATGCTGCTGAAAACTTTATTCTAGTAATAAATAATACTCATGAATACATGAACCAAATGAATAAAGAAGGAAAAATCAACACCATCCATTTTAAGAAATACACTCCCAATATAATTCTACACAATAGGCTTAATTATTATAAAAATCCAGGTTAATGATAATGATAACTCAATCCAGTAAAATAAAACTAATGCTTAGACCCTTAGTGACAGAAATGGTTTTTAATGTTAAATTTCAGTGAATGTATATCTTTTTATTACAGTAAAGTATAATAAGGTAATTAAAAGAATTTCAATTGCATAAAAATATATCATATGAAATTAAAATATGTGCATGAAAAATATGTACACAAAGTTAAAATGTGTGGGAAAATTAAACAGAAATATGAACGTAAGGAGAAAAAGGCCCAATATAAAATTTCTGACTGTTAAAAGAGTACATGTATTTTAAAAATAGACGATACTGAGTACCAAATCAGAAAGATCTTTACAGACCACCAAATGCACATAAGTGTAGTGTAAGTTTGCATAATTGTACAACAAATAATTTTTTAAAGCAATTCTTCAAAATAAAATACAAAGTCAAAAAATAAACTGAACTGTCATCCAGCTGGTGGAATTACTAACCAGGAATAAAAAATTTCACCTGACTTTAAAACACAGTAATTTAAATATACATTTCTAGTGGAACAGACCTGGTGGTGTTGCCACCAGCAACAATCAAACAGGACAAAAAAGTTTTTAAGTCATTTTCCTAGTAGCCACACTTGTATTGGTATTGTGAAATTCATTTATGTACCGGGACAAAGCAAATTAGCAACTAAGTTATCATTAGGAACCAAACCACCAAACTCAAAAGCCATAAAAGAAAAAAAGATACATTTGACAACGAAAGAAAATACATTTTCTCCAAGGCACTAACCACCAAAAGAATAGTGAAAAAAAAAATGGTTAGCAACTACTGTCACAGCAACAGGTGAGTTTCTCCAAAATACTGCTTTAATTCATCAAACCTAGAGAAACCATTGTGAGATGCATTATTACATATATTAACATGCAAAAATTAAATCATATCATGCCATCATTATAAGATACATCTATATAGATTTCAGAGATGTCAATGTGAAAAAATGTGTCTTAGACTCAATATAAAAAGAAATTCTGTGAACCAGTAATACTCTAAAGACAAATGGAAAAATGGGCAAAGAATATTAAAAGACAATTATCAAAAGTAAATAACCCCACATGTGAAAAGGTGTAACCACACTCATAATAAAAGATATGCAAGTTAAGGCTACATTGAGATATTATTTTATTTTTTACTGGCAAAGATTGAAAGGTTGATAACACTGTAACACAAGTTTGTGGAAAGAGGCATGCTCAGACATTGCTGGTAAAAGTGTCAGGTATAAAACAACTAGAAATGTACCTGTACTGATACAGCAGATCTATTTCTAGGAATCCATCCTACAAATAGTAAGCCTGCATGTGTGCAAAATAACCCATACAGAAGGCTAATTGATTTAACATTATTTACGAGAAAAAGAAAACATCAATACACCATGAATATCCTTCAATCGAGTGGCACTGGATAGTTATGGTACAGCATGCAATGGAATACTATGCACTCCTATATTAAGTGAAAAAAAATAAGAGTAGAAAAAGCATGTATTATAGTGTATGCTACCAATTGTGGTAAGTATAAGGGGTGGGGCAAAAATACACATTTTCTTTGTAATGTATAAAATACCTCTGATGGGTTAAACAAGAAATTGGAAATGCCATTTTTGTCTCTGGAGTAGGGGAATGGGTGGCTGTGACTTGCATAAAAATCTTTTGAGTTTTTGCTACATAACTTAAAATTTTTTTTTAATTAAAAAGGCAACACTTGCCTTTTTTCCTTTTGAGGTCTCAGAATCCTCATCTTCATCTACACTGAGTAGATTTGCCTCACTACATAGAAAACAAGAGAGAAAAAAAACTTAAGTGACAATTAAAATCCACACATCAAATTCAGTTTTACCCTCTTTGCTCCCCTAATTCAGGGATCCGCAAACTTTTTCTGTAAGGGGCCACAGAGTAAATTTTTTAAGCTTTGCTGGCCATATGGTTTTCATTTCAACTATCCATTTTTGCTGCTGTAGTATGAAACCAGCCACAGGCTATACGTGTGCATATGCTCCAATAAAACAATTAACAAAACCCAGTAATGGGACAGATTGGTCCACAGGTCATAGTTTGTTGATCCCTGCCATAAATGAACACATACTTTTTATTTTCTTAGCTATGGGTTTCATATATAGTCAATCATTTTTCCTTTGTTTTGGATTTTAAATTAGGGAAAAAGGATAGAGAAGCAAAAACAGAAGGAAAAAACTGATAAGAAAACCTTAGCTAAGGAAAAGAAGGTAATTCCAATGTTACTACCACAGTAAAACAGTTACCTGTCTGCCACTCCTGGAGAATTTCAACCCTTCACTGAAAATCATTGGCCTGATATTCTAAAAGACCAGACTGATATATCTACCAACTTCATTTAATCTCAACACGTTCAAAAGGATAAAGATCCTGAGGATCCACTTATAATGATGAACCAGAGAGTACAATTCAAAAATGAAACACTGAACAGATAGCATTTTAAAAGACAGTTTTGTTTTGTTTTTTTTACATATTCACAACAAATCCTCTAAGTAAAAAATTTAAAAAACCTTCTGAATACCAATTCTGTTAAGCTATTTTTAGTAAAATCCTAGATAAGATGTTTGTTCCATTACCATTTATATACATCACAACTTTTTTAATGCTAGTAATTCTCTCCTTCCATTTTACAAAAATGTTTAAAAGGTGGTATACTTTCTATTCAATTTGAGATTTAATACAAATTTTTCAAAACTACATAAATACTAAATGCTTGTAACCAAAAATAATTTTAAATTAAAAAATAAAGAAATGAAAGAAGACCATAAAATACCAATTTGAAGTGAGAAACTTAATAGTTCAAAGCTCTCCAAGTAAAATTTCACTTCAGTTCAACATCTCACAGGGGAAGGCACATGAACGATGAGCGGAGCTGGTGCCCAGACAGAGGTGAAGCACATGCCGTATCTGGCCAGTACACTCTGAATGAATTCCATAAAATTTCTAAAAAATGTACTTGTAGTTTGGGTAGAATTTAGCATACATACATACATATATAGTCTCTTAATTTGCTTTTGCTCTGGCCTGTGGAAAATGGAGCAATAAGCCAATAAACTGATAGCAATGCTGAATTTGTAATACAAATCTCACTATAGGCAAATGATCTATTAAAACTGTTATTTAAAATTTTACATAGCAGTCATTCCACATATGTTAACAAAGTGTAATGAACACTTTGCTTAACTTCTGTTTGGGTCAACACCTGTGTTGATCATTTATAGTGTTTCTGCCTTCTTTGGTGGGAATCTGATCTACAATGAATGTGGGTTGGGGAGTGAAGAAAGATACCACAGGACTTAAAACTTTTATACAAAATTCAGGGGTCTTAATCTGGGTTCACTTACCATGATAAAATGGTTTTTTTAATCAGAGCCTGAACAGAATGCCATTATATACATATTTTAAAACAACAATTTCTGTAATTGGAAATCTGTAGAATGATCTTTAATCATAAGGTCACACGTATTACCATGTACATATTTATACTTTTCAAAAGATGGAGAAATACAACAGCAAGAGTACTCACCAGTGAAGAACTCCTTTTTTCCTTAATGCTACTATAAAAGAGTTCAGTGCTTTCTTAAGTAAATACCATACGCTTAAAAATATTTCCATAAAATAGAAATTGTTTTTCTAAAGAAAAATTTCATTCTCATAAAACATGAGTGAAAAAAAATTCTTACTCTTTATCTGTATCTCCTTCACTTTCTTCTCCATGATCAAAGCTCCAATTATTTTTAAAACCTCTATCTGTCTTAGATTCTGATCTAGCTAAAGTTGAAACAAAAACTGAGATAAGTATTCATTTATTTTTGCAAATTTACAGTTGTCCATATCTGAGTTTGCTAAGAAAAGAGCTCAAATTAGTAAGATATAATGAAAATTGGGGGTGCAGGGTAGAGGATGGAACACATGAATATGTAGGAAATATATAAAAATCAGCCTGAAAAACAAACACACACACCCAGGAAGCCTTTCTAAACAGCCACAATTTCTGAGCATTGTTACTTTCCATTCCTCTAGTTATCACCAGGCTCCAGAGCTAGACCTGGGGTTTTGAATCCCATTTTCCTTATTTACAAGCTGTTGACCTTGGGCAGGTTTACTTAACCTCTCTGTATCTAGTTTCCGCTTATTTCAAGTGTCACAATTACATTTTATACATCAGATAAATTCCAGAGAAAGCCATAGGGTAAAAATTATTGTGTGTGTTGTGTGTGGAGAGGGGAAGTTGCTGCATGTAGAGACAGGTATTTGGAGGTGTGGACGGCAGGGTAATAGACTTACTCAAATGCTCTTAGCTAACTCACAAGCATTCGTGGTCACGTGACACTGCCAGCCTAGGAGAAATCAGATAGTTAACTGATGACTATTGGAAATGAAATTATGGACCAATTTAAAACGAAAATTTTAAAGCCAGATGATATTTTAAGTATTTTGGATCTTTACTTTAGTGAAAAGAACTTTTATTAGTTTTCATTAAAATACAGTCATAGAAAATTAGATCACACAGAGAAACAAAAAGCTAAAAGAAAATCCTCAACCATCTCACCACCTAGAGGTAAAATGCTGTCATTCTGATAAATAACCTTTCCTAGTTTTTTCTGTGTCTCTCTATATATATATACATGTGTATACATACATATGTGTGTACATATATAGGTGCATACACAGACATATAACCCTTATATATTTGAAAAATAGTTCATGCCTACATTGTTCTGTCACCTGTGTGGGTTTTTGTGGGGGGTGCTATTGGAGGAAGGGTTAAGAATAGTTATGAATCCTCTTAAAACCCATTAAGGGCCACCAGTCTTGCCTGTTTCCTTATGTAAGAATATAGTAATTTATCCTCCATTTGCCCCATGGTCCCAAGCACATAAGCCAGTGAGAATTATGCCTGGGCCTGCCTGGGGCTTGCTGGGTTTACCCCGCCTTATCTCTAAGCATCCCGACCCTCCCCCAAGGCAACAGGCCTAGCGGGTCCGCCACAGTAAAAGGCACCACACTGCTGCCCTTGCTCTCTCTCTGTCTCTCTCACTCTGTCTCTGTCTGTCTCTCTGTCGCTCTCTCCCTGTCTCTCTGCTGCCCTCTTTCTGTCTCTCTGTCTCTCTGTCTCTCTCTTTGTCTCTGTCTCTGTCTCCCTGCTCTCCCTGTTCTCTCTCCCCGCCCCGCCCCCTCCTCTGCTCTCTCTGTCCAGCTGCTCTCTGCTGCTCCCTCCCTCTCTCTCTCTCTCTCTCTCTCTACCCCCCACCCCCTCTGGAGCAGCCACTCTCTCCTTCAGACAATAAAGTCTCTTGCGTGGGTCCGTGTCTCCTGAGTCATTCTGGGTAAGGAGGGTCGCGGCGAGATACCCTTTCACCTTACATACATGATTCCTATTTGTCGATTCAGTGTTTCCCAATCTTTTTGATTCTGTGACACACTTTGAGAGTCCTAAGCTTTCCCAGAACACAATGTGGTGAATGAAATGTATATCTTGAATAGAACCATAAACTATAACCTGAAATGAACAGCCCTCATTTGCTGGCCCTGCCCCTTAGACTGTAAAAAAAAAAAAAAGAAGAAAACAAGAAAACCTCATGAAACAAGCTATAGGTTTTTGTCTGGAGGATAAAGCTTTACTGGATACATTTGTAATTTAAATTCTAAAATAAAAATGTGTGGCGAACAATTAAAAGCAATTAAAACATGCTCAGGAAGGAGACCAGGAACAACGGGTGCGATTGCTCGGGGTCTCTTCCTCACAGCCTCTCTCTGCTCCTGGACCAAAGCCTGAGGATTGCTGCAGAGCCTGGGCAAGTGTGGGGAGGGCTGGGGACAAGAGCTTTCACATTCATTTCTGATGAACAGGTATTGTCTTCTGTGTGGCAGGCTGGCCTGTCTCAAGGAGGCAGGGATCTTGTGACTGGCAAAGAAGGGATTCAGGAAGAAGCTGGGAGCTAGCCTGTCTCTTCTGAGTTGTTGAACATGAATGTTCTGTAATCTATAGAATGTTACATTATGAATGTAAGTGGAAGCATAATTACTCCTTTTCTTCTTCCCTTCCTGCTTTCTTGTGGTTTCTCATTTCTTTGCCTTTTTTTTTTTACTTCTTAATTATGGCAAATTTCAAACATATAACAAGTATACAAGAGATAATGTGCCCATGTACCCACTACACCCAACTGCAACAGCTCTCAGCTCACAGTCAAGCCTGTTTTATCTGTAACCCCAATTCACTTCCCCCATCCCCATATTACATTAAAGCAAATAATATTATTTCATACATATTTCAGCATTTATGTCTAAAAGATAGGGACTTAAAAAGTCATAAGCACAGTATTATAATTCTTTAAAAATTAATAATAATTCCTTAATATCACCAAATACATAGTCAGGGTTCATATCCCATATCCTGGTCCAGGGTTGAAACTCTGATGTATTGTATCTACAGGTGTGATTTCTTAGATGTCTTAGTTTGGGCTGCTATACCAAAGTCCTGTAGACTGGTTTATAAACAGCATAAATTTATTTTTCACAGTGCTAAAGGCTGAAGCCCAAGATCAGGGTGCCAGCACGGTCAGGTTCTGGTAAGAGCCCACTTCTGGGTTGCAGCCTGATGGCTTCTCTGTGTATCTTCACATGGCTAAAAGAGGGCTAGAGATCTCTCTGTCCTCTTCTTATAGGGGCGTGAACTAACATGTGCCTGGCCTCTTTCACTTAGCATAATGTTTTCAAGGTTTATCATGGTAGCATGTATCAGTACTTCATTCGTTTCTTTAACTGAATCATATTCCATTGTCCGTATATACTACAATTTGTTTATCCATTGATGGACATTTGGGCTGTTCCTACATTTTGGCAACTGTGAACAGTGCTGCTATGAACATGCATGTGTTTGAGTACCAGTTTTCAAATCTCTGGCGTATATACCTAGAAGTGCAATTACTACGTCATAAGGTAATCCTATGTTTAACTTTGTGAAGAACTACAAAACTTCTCCATAGCAGCTGCACTATTTTACACTCCTAGCAGCTACCTATGAGGGTTCTAATTTATCCACTTCCTCACCAACATTTGATATTTTCCTTTTTAAAAAAATTGTTATAGCTGTCTTAATGGTGTGATGGTATACCTCATTTTGGTTTTGATTTGCATTTTCCTAATGACTAATGATGTTGAGAATCTTTTCATGTATTTGTATACCTTCTTTGGAGGAGTAAGTGTCTGTCTATTCAAGTAGTTTTGCACATGGATCATTTGTCTTTTTGTTGTTGGATTGTAAGGGTGCTGTACATGAGTCCTGAGCACTAGACTCTTATCAGATATATGGTTTGCAAACATTTTCCTCCCATTATGTAGGTTGTTATTCCATTTCAACCCAAACTTTCCAACACCAACTGGTATACTGCAATTCAGTTTGTTATTAAGACGCCCAGAGTTAACATCAGACACATAGGCTTAAGGGCATTCTTCCCAACAAGATTGTCTCCATTTCAGACACCAGCCTCAATTTCTGGGGGTATCCAGGCCACCTGCATTTCTGAATACATGGCTACAAATCTAAGGGTTCTCACAGGCCCGTAGGTTCAATAATTCATGAAGATGACTCACAGAACAAAGAAACCACTATATTTGCTGTTCCATTTTCATTATGAAAGATACAGATTAGGAGCAGCCAAATACAGAAATGTATGGGGCAAGTTTGGGAGGGTCGCTTCAGTGTCCTCACCTCAGGATGCATCACCCTTCCAGCAGATCAATGTGCTCGTCAACCAGTAAGCTCCACTGAGCTTCAGAGCAGAGATTTAATGGGAGTTTCATTACCTACACTTGATTGATTAAATCACTGGCTACATGACTGAACTCAATCCCCAGCCCTCTTTCCTCTCCCTAGAGGTAGGGCTGGTTCGAAGTCCCATATTATATGTCCTTACTGTGTTTTTCTCTGAAAGTCTCAGAGAGCTGCTATAATAGCATGTTAGACAACATCCCCCCTCCTCCACATAGAAGGTTCCAGGTGACAACTTATTTTTCAGAGGTTGGGGGGTTCTTCTGTCTGGAAAGGAATAATGATCAATTCTGGTGTTTTGATTAATATTAAATTTATCAAAGTTTCAAATTCTTAAATCCAGTTCAGTTTGTACAGTTAAGCTAAACTTCAATCATTGTTATTTTGTTTTCTAAAAATCTGATTTCTTTAATAAGATCAATAATTCCCACAGGCCTTAGACAAATTTTTAATTGAATCAGAAGTTAAGCAGAATTTCCCTAAATAATTAACCTTATTTACACACTTGACTGATTTAATTCTTTAAATACTATAAGCAACATTGTAAGTTTAATGTATTGAGTGTGAGTCAAGCATGTAATTTTAAGTATTCTAGTAGCCATAGTTAAAAAGTATAAAAAAACAGATGAAGTTAATTCTAATAATATATTTAACTCAATACAACAAAAAATATTTCAACATGTAACCAACATAGAAATCAATAATGAGGCCTTTTTCCTCACTAGGCCTGTGAAAGCAACTTGGGTCCCCAGCAGTTCTCCCAGAGCCATCTGAGAAAATTTGGCCAGGGTTCTCATTCTTGTCACTTATGATCAGACTGCTACAGTCTGAACCGGAAATACAGCCTCAATATGTGGTGCCAGTGTTTCCCATCAGTAAGCGGAGGATATAGCCTTTAGTAAATTGGATTAAGTGAATGTCCCTGAATAGATCATCCAGGCTATGTTTAGTTACCACAGAAACAATGTTAGCTCTTTGTACATAAAATAAAAATTCCTCAGTTCTGGGAGAAAAAAAGAAAAGGAAAAAAAAATTAATAATGAGATATTTTACTGTTTTTCTTTTACACTAAGTATTTGAAATCCAGCATGTATTTTACATTTTATAGCACATCTCAATTCAGATGCAAAAAGCCACCTATACCTAGTGGCTGCCCTACTGGACAGCACAGCTTTAGGTAGTATCCTAGTCTTCTCTGCCCTGCTCTGTGCCCTGGGAGGCTGACCTCCTGGTTTTCTTGCCTGCAGGTTTCCAGATGCTTTGGGCAATAGGAGGCACCACTAAGAAATGGGACTATAGAAAGTGAGTAACCCAATTGTTCCACCTCTGACTTCCCCTCTTCCACCTCCAAACTGGGCTGCCCCAGTTCCTCTACCTATGTTCACAGTGGCCTCTCTTCATAGCTACAGTGCTTAGCTGGTTCTGGTAGCCCTGCTCCCTTTCTATGCCCCACTGGGCCTAATAGCTGCCTCTGGGAGGACTCCCTCGTTTGTGGGTTTCCTTAACCCTGTCCATACCTCTGTAAATAATTACCTTTTCAGTTAACCTTTTGTTGAGTGTGTCAATCTGCTTCCTGGCAGGCCACTGAACTAAGTAGTTAATGAACTATATATACTGTTATAGTCCATAACTATTGTTATGTTATGTAATAAATCTTTTAGATTTTCCTTCATGGATACTTGAAGTAAAGTACAATATTTAAAGTATTAATTCTTTTACATAGATATTAATGCCTGGCCATCAGTAACTTTTTTCCCTAAATTAGGAAAACAAGTACTTAGTGAAGTAAGTGATGGGTGAATTTTAGAGTTGGAAGATATCTTAGTGCTGTAGTTCTTGACTTGAGGTAGAGAAAAGTTTGGGTCAGTAATTCCTGTATTTAGAATATTTCTGTTTGCAAGTGACAGGAAAAAATCAATCAAAGTAGTCTGGGTAAATCGGGGGAAGAAATAAGGGAACTTGTATGTTCAAATAACTGGGAATTCCAAAAATGGAAACAAGGTCAGGGCTCCTTAGAGTTGCAGGGCTGCTTAGTCCCCACCTCTCAGCTCTCTCTTCCTTTAGATTGGGTCCGTAGGCTGCTTCTTCCTTCCTGGAAACAGGATGGCTGCCCTGGCTCAGGACCCATCTAGTCAAGAGGAAACGAACGCACCTCTCCCTGGCTGACCTAGCAACAATGCTGTAATTAACAACTGATTGGCTTGACTGGATTACTCACCCATTCTTGAATTAACTGGGGTAGGGGTGAGGGTTGGCTGAGAACTAGAATGATTTAATTAATGGGGGAGATCATGTCTCTAACCCCTGAAAAAGTGGGGTGTAGGGCCAAACCACCCATAAATCAGTAACATGTTTTACTAAGAGAAAGGTAGTTCACCCAAGAAAATCATGAGATGTTCACTACATCTGATCCCATTCCCAGTCCCACCAAGAAATTCTCATCCGTCCCCTTGAAGCTTCATGTGGTTTTAGGGTCTAGACAAGAGTGGTTTTAAAGGAACATTAAAACATTCCATGATTTAAATGGATAATTTAGGTGGCTGCAGTTACCAGAATATGGGAAGTGTTTGTGGATGGTCAGAGGAGAATTTAAAATGTGTTCAGGAATACAGTTAGGGTGACTAAGGGCTCCATTGAAAGATGCATGCTACACTAGCATTAAACACACAAACAAAAACCCAGAAAATATGATAGCAAAGAATGGGATACTGAGATGTGGGGAAAAAAACATTTAAAAAGAGCCAGTACCTTTGAGCAGAGATTATGCCAAGTGATTTAAATATATTTTTTCTTTTAAGTAATTAAATAATTAAACAAATATGAATTGATCGCCTGCTGTGTGCAAGGTTCCTTTCTAGGTCCTGGGTGACCACAATACACAAAAGCTGAAGTTCCTGTGGGAGGAGACAGCACACAACAACCCTGTAAATCTGGTATTATTAACCCGTTTTAGAGAGACAAAATTTACGGAGATAGGCTAAGGGATTCTTCTCAAAACACTTTGGCAGGAAGCAGCCCTGGGTATTTGGTCCAAATCTGGAACTATGTGACTTCAGTGTTTGCTTTGACAGAAGAAAATTAAATTAAAAGAGGAGAAAAGCTTTCACAGAGCAGGAGAGCAAATAAAGGCAAATATAAGTGTGCCAGAAGACAAAAACATTTAAAGAAGGTAAGAAAAGGAAGAAAAAGAGAAAGGGTTTGCTAGATTCCTCCCTCATGTGGAAAACACCCCAGGTAAAGCTAGCACAAGGCCTGGCTCAACAACTGTATAATTTCCATTCCCACGTTCCCCCGCAGTATGAAGTTCTCATTTTATAAGTGAGAAAATAAGGTTCAGAGCGATTACATCCTTGTTGTTGCTGTTTTTCACTGTGGATAAACCTTTTAGAGCCACATAGGAGGTAAGGCTTCAAAAGAAAATATCTCAGAGAAATAAAACCTAAGTAAACAATTGTCCTGTCTTTCAGCTAACCACTGAAAATATAGGGTTTCTTTCTTTTTTTTCTTCTTCAAAGCACATGTGGATACATTTTAGCACTGTCACTGGATACATTTTAGCACTGTCAAATTATAGTGAAAGCGAGTAGGAGAGTAAGCTTGAAGACACCGGATAAACTTCCTACTTGAACTCAGTGTTCGGGAGAGGGAGATCTTGGTGATTTTTTTAACACAATCACGGGATTTCTCTCCCAGTCGTTAATTATTCCTGTGGCTCTTGTCTTCGAGCGAAAGTGAAAAACTGGAAGATTTTGAGTGGCCTACGGACCCACCCCACCCGCAGGTCAGCACAGTACTTTCTGAGGAGAAAGGTCAGAGGTACCCTTGCAGGCGTTTGTCTGAGGCCCAGAATTTAAATTCATTCTTCTTCAGGAACCTCCTTTTACTGTTACTTGCTAAAGGTGCGTTTCCGGATGGCGTGACCTGTCTTGTTTGCTGCTGAGTTTCTATTAAACATTTTAAGAGGCCGGAATAATGACGCTACCGTCTTTGCCAAATCCTGCAGTTGGGGTGAGAGGCAGGAAGCCAGCTGGAGTCGGGCAGACTTTCCGGATCTGGCTTTTGCCTGTGTGGGACCTGGACGGGTACAACCTGGTGGTGGCTCGGTCACAAACAGCAGTGACCTTTGGAGTAACTCTGAAGCGTTTTTATTTATTTTTATTAAGGTATTATTGACATACACTGTCATGAAGATTTCACATGAAAAAATGTGGTTACAACATTCATCCATATCATCGAGTCCCTGCCTATACCCCATTGCAGTCACTGTTCATCAGTGTAGTAAGATGTCAGTCACTATTTGCCTTCCATGTGCTACCCTGTCTTCCCCTGATCCCCCCTCTACACCATGTGCCAATCATACCCCTCAATCCCCTTCTCCCTCCCTCGCCCACGCCTCCCCTTTGGTTGCCGCTAGTTCCTTCTTGGAGTGTGAGTCGCTGTTTTGTTCCTTTGGTTTTGTGAAGCGTGTTTTTAAATGCAGTGATCTCAGTTCCAACCTAATAGCTCACAGGGATTAATGAGTTCACCCAATACCTGAATCTTTTTAGGAGCAGATGGCTATAGACGCAGTGTTTGGGAGTGATAGCTGTGGTGGTATTAAACCGCAATTTATCCGAAGATGAGAAAGAAGGAACTGAGGGTAATATGGAGTTCCGCAACGGAGGATCTGCACCCGAGGGAACTCAAGGCCTGAAGGAGGCAACGGCGCAGCAACGGACAAATCCACACAACGTAGCTCGCTGCGTTTGTAGCCGTCACGTCACAACCTTCTCCGCCTCTCATTGGGCGAGCCTGTTGAATCATGTGATCCAAGCATGGCATATAAATAAGGGCGAGGAGAAAGCCTTAGTCCGCCATTTCGTGGACGTCGGGTTCCGGGAATCTTCGGCGGGAGCCGGGCGGGAGGCAAGCGGACGACCTATCGAGGGTGTGTGGATTTGAGCCTCCGCATTTCTAACCCCAGATCTCGGTAAGAGCCCAGCGACTAACTGAGCGAAGTGGAAAATGGAACTTAACCAGTACCGAGGTGGGGCGAGGCCCAGTGGCGGCGCCAGATTGAGACAAAGAGCCGCCGCCGCCATTTTGTGACGTTCAGCATGGGGCGGTGGCGGTGGCCCTCGGCCCTTCAGTGGATATATCCCGGTCTTAGGGTGGAGGTGTTTGTAGCCCCTCACTGTGGGGATGAACTGGGAAGGGGTTACCCTAGAGTTTGGGCGAATGGGGAGCCGGTAGCCGAATGGTACACCCAGACCGCGGTCTTTGAATTTATGGCGCCTTTTTTTTTTTTGGCCCACGTTTTCTTAGGAAGCGTATCAGGGTTTTTTCTCAAGTTGCTAATCAAGACTGGATCTTTCGATTCGTATTAAGTGATTTGTATACTCACCTTTATTTTCATGTTATTTTAATTTTTATAAGTAAATTATGTTTTTTAACCGACCTTCGTTGGGCAGCGTTGTTCTTGTAGCTATTTCTCATTAATACGTAGGCCTGAAACTCATGGCAAAGTTTGTTAAAGCAATCACCAGTAGCTAGGTGTCCGAACTCTTGGGCACGGGGTGGGGACACGCAAATAGGATGTGTCTGGACTGATTTTATTGATTCGTAAGCCCAGAGTGAGAAGAACGAGGTGTTAGGAAAAAAGCCCTTCGGCCTTGTTATTGGTTAGGTTGTCCTTTAATGCATTTGAAACTGGCTTACAAGTTACCTGAGGTTAGCTTTTAGGTATTGAAGATTTTTCAAAGATAAGCCCCCAAAGTGAGTGAATTCTTGAAATAATTTTTCCCCTAAGTGAAATTAACAAAGGATATGTTTTTAAATTACAGGTTTATTGGTATCTAGTACATTAATAAGGTTGTGCAACCGTGACATCTATTTAGTTCCAAATTATGTTACCCACTAAGGAGACCTATATTCATTAAGCAGCCGCTTCCATTTCCAATCCTTGCCTTCCCCCGCACTACTTGGTAACCGATAATATGCTATCTTGGGATAGTTCATCATATTCGGTGGAATTGCATTGTGTGCACTTCTGTGTCTTAACAGCATGTTTTTGAGGTTCATCCACGTTTGTAGCCCTTAACTCCCGAGTAACATGCCGTTGTAGAGATTACTGCATTTTGCTTATCCGAGAGACATTTAGCCTTTTTTTGGCTGTTAAGAATAGAGTTAAAATTTGAAAAGCCTTAACATTTTTCGCTGCTTGAGGAATGTAGCTCGTTAAGTTTTGGCTTACGAGGCACATTATCGCTTTTCCACTGGTTTAACCTCTGCTGTATTGTTTTCCATTTTTGGTTTTTGGTTCTCCGGGACTTGTTTCTGAACAAGTTTTCCTTGTTTTCTAAGTGTTTTGAGATTAATTGAAATAATAAAGCCTTTAAGTCGGTGCCCAGACTCCAGGAAATGCTCCTCCGGTGTTTTTTCCTTCTCATTTTGCAAGAATGCCTTTTTTTTTCTTAATGAAGTTTGTACCTGGCTTCCCGACCTTTAGCAGTACTGATTAAGGAGAAATGGATGTTTCAAGGGTAGTACTTTGGTACTTTGACATGTTTGGTTTTTAGTATGTTCTGTCCTAAGGATCTGTTTTTCACAGCATAGATTTGGGAAAATGATTAATATTGGGGGTGTTTGGGTTTTTTTTTTTCCATTACAGAAATGCATCGTGATTCCTGTCCATTGGACTGTAAGGTTTATGTAGGTAATCTTGGAAATAATGGTAACAAGACTGAATTGGAACGAGCCTTTGGCTATTACGGACCACTCCGAAGTGTGTGGGTTGCTAGAAACCCGCCCGGCTTTGCTTTTGTTGAATTTGAAGATCCGCGAGATGCAGCCGATGCTGTCCGAGAGCTAGATGGGAGGTAATTAATCAGATTTTTACTAAACGGTGAATAATGTTGCTTGTAATTTTTTATATTTAAAGTTTCTAGGATAAGTGGATTTTAGATGGTTTCTTGGCCCTCTGAAATTGATATTACTGGATAGTTACATAGACCTTTTTTTAATTGTAAAGAAAAGGTTAAAAAAGAAAAAACAGTTTGACTCAGTTTTTTCCATGAAGAAAATGAAGTTTAATGGTCAGTTCTTGGTGGGTGGATAGCTGCAACTAAAATGTGGTTGAAACAATTGAGTCTAAATTCCCCCACAAAGCGTCAGCTGTGGTGCTGCCTGTGAATTGTTTCTAAAACAATTGTGGAATCAAATAACTCAGAATTGTTGTACCTGGATGATGATTACATGGGGGCTTATCATACCATTATCTTTTAAAGGTGCTTCAAAACTGTGGATAGTATAGGTCTTGCTCTTTGGCTGATGATAACACCTGAGTCTTACATACAGTTATCTAGTGTTTTCCACCCCGGCGATTGGAAACCTTTGGCTTTCATGAAATCAAGGGAAACCCCTTGAGATCCAAGAATTAGAGTCTTGAGGGTTGGTTGTAAAGCTGTATAAAAGCTCATTTGTCTAAGCAGATTTACAGAAAATTTTCCAGAGCCCCACTTCCCCACCTACTGACCAAATATGGTGGCTCAACTAAACTTAATGGTTGTAGACTAGTGAGAGGTGGGGATAACTCTCAGCTCTATTCTCAGATGCAGTTTCTTAAGTCAAGTGTCCTGTGACGATTTGAGGGGGAGAAAGAAGGTGATGTAAAATGGCCAAAGTGCTCTGTCTTGTAGTAGGCTGTCAGGAAGGGAGACCAGCAAATACAGGGTAGGATCAGTAAACAAGTGGCTGGTGCCTCAGGAAGAAATCTTTTTAGAACAGGATGTACAGTTACATACAGTTCTTTGAAGATGAATTCAGGGGTTTTCATGCTTAAATTGCAACTGTTAACAAATTAACATTGAACCCATGATCATACTGACCAACAAAGCAATGGGATGGAAGGAAGTTGGTTTCCTTAGGAAAAATAAGGGAACTCTAGGTTATGGATTCTGTGACATTCAGATGTGTTATTTGCAAAGAAGCAAATTAGTACACATCTCTTAGAAAATCGGTTTGGCTGCTTTAAATTTGATTGTTCCACTCCTAGAACGCTGTGTGGCTGTCGGGTAAGAGTGGAACTGTCGAATGGTGAAAAAAGAAGTCGAAATCGTGGCCCACCTCCCTCTTGGGGTCGCCGACCTCGAGATGATTATCGGAGAAGGAGTCCTCCACCTCGCCGCAGGTACTTGAGAGAGAGCGTGCTTAGAGGTATTGGTGTAATGGAGTAGCTAATAGGAGCAGGTATTTCTCTTAAGTTTGTTGGTGGGTTTTAAACTGAATCAGGTTTTTATCAACCTGCTGGGTGTAGTTTGGGGTATGTGAGTTGTGCTGAGTGTTGGCTTTTGTCTTTAGGTCACTTCATGTTGGTAGTCAGTAACTTCTATCTTGGATCTGTCTTCTAGTTCATCTTGTAGCTGCATCTTTCCAAGTCTTCCCTTATACTTCAATTTAGGCCTTTTTCCATTTCTTGACTCCCTAAGTACAAACATTACATTCAACTCTAGCTCTTCACGAAAATGTTTTCTACTATTAGCACGATTGTAATATTTATCAAGCAGGCAGCTATTTTAATGTTACAACAGTAAAGTAGAAATCATTCTGAAACTAACTTAAGTCACTGACCAATAAAGGGGGCTAAAAAAGTAATCCCAGTCATCTGTTCTTCAAACCCAAATAGGAAAGAAGTCAGTTTTTTTATAGTTGAAAATGGCATCATTCTTGGACCAGGCAGTACTGTCTGGATGCTAACTCCACGTCTCCTCAAACCTCCAAAATAGTTTCTATAGGACTGAATTTACCTCTTACAGGTGAGTGAAGTCCTAGGAGATAGGAGTTCAAAATCTTGCCCCTTTTGCTATTTTGAAAAACAAAACAACACACTGTTGCCCATCATAATAAAGAGTATTTGTTAGCTAAATAGATGGTTGTACTGATGGCTTGTTTTTCATTTTTTTTTTGTGCTTTTTGGTCCATCTATTAATAAAAATGAACCCCGTTACAGAGTCACCATCATGTCTCTTCTCACCACCCTCTGAGTCTGCATTAGCCAGTCAACTAGCCCTTTCAGCGTCATGTGACCAGCGCGCCCCATTCAGCTTGGCTGGTGTCGTTTCACATGACCCAGGCATGGCCAGTCGTCAGGTTGCACCGCCCTTTGGTTCCCGAGCATGCTGTTTTCTCTCAGCCTTCTCTCCAACCTTAACCAAATCGGCAGCAGCCACCTCGACCGCCCACACATTCCTGGCCAATCAGCTCAGCTGTTTATTTACCAAATGTCTTCACAACAACTACAGCAGCAGCCTTCGGCTAACAAAAAAGCAGGAAAAATCCACAACACCCCCTTCGCCAACCAACTAAATCCAACGCAACATCTGGCAAAACCTTTTCAGCAAATTCTTCCTGGCCGTCAGTCCGGCAGCCTCACCTCACCATTTCTAGCTTGTTGAAACCCAAAACTAGTAAGTTTTTCCTGCTTATACAGTTTACTGCTGGTTAAAATAAGGAGTAAGCGGCTTAAAGTAATTCTTTTTTCTGGATCAAAGGCTGGCTGTGCATAATTGAATGGTAACGTACATATATATTGCTTGAATAAAACTTTTAAGGGTGATAGGGAACTCATAATGTAACTAGACCTTCAAGTGGAACTTATTTGCATGTGTGAGATGCCAAACTAAAAATTTTAATGACTCTAACAGATTAAGCTTTCCTTTCTAGCAAAAAATTGGTTGAATCCTATCACCTTTAAATGGTTTTACTAACAGTTTTCAAATTTTTAAATTTTGGGGGTGAAGTGGGCCAAGCTAAGGTAATTTTGATAAGCCTAAACACACTCTTAAATGTGACGATCACAAATGCAGTTCTAATGTAGCACTTAATGGCATCAATTTACACCTAGCGCGTTTTCACAAAATTACACTATCCACCTGGTACCTAAGTCTTGTCATGGACTTAAAGGTTTGCATGGGTTCCAAATACTGGTTTATGGTACTGTTTTTGGAACTACTTGTGGGATTACATTTTGGTGTGGTGTTTGGGTAGTGAAGTTAGATTGACATGAAGTTTTGCATTGGACAGATCTGCTGTGAAGCATTCTTTGTTAAAGTGAATCCATGGTTGGAATACCTGCTTTTCACTTGAGCTTTTGGTTCCTTAATCCTTCTGTGCCTTTTTTTTCTTTTCTTTTTATTTTGTTTTTATTTTTTTGGACGATGGGTGCCTTTTCTTCGGCACATTCACTGGGCCCAACAGTGAGATTCAAAAGTTGGGAAATGCCTCACGCCATAAATACTAATTGACAATTAGCCTGATTTTCCTGTTTCTGCTTTTTAGATCTCCAAGACGGAGAAGCTTCTCCCGCAGCCGGAGCAGGTAAATAATTACCTTTTTGGGCCACATTCTCAGAAATGCCCGTTTGTGCTTTTCCTAAGCTGTTTTCTAAATGACTTGGTTAATGGTAATAAACCAAGTGGTTTATAGAGCAAGAGCTAAAGTTTGTAAGAATCAACTAGCTTTTAGTTTCTAGAGACTTCTTAGAAATGTGTTCTTGTATATAGTACTGACTGGCCCTGTTTTTTATTTTTCCTCTGGCTTTAGGTCCCTTTCTAGAGATAGGAGAAGAGAGAGATCACTGTCTCGGGAGAGAAATCACAAGCCATCCCGATCCTTTTCTAGGTCTCGTAGGTAAGATTGCTAATGACTGGAGACATTCAGGACCTTTGTGTAGATGGAAGTACTAGAAATAGAAATGGGTCTTTCTTCTTAAACCATTTTGATAAAATTGTTACAACTTTGACCATGAAGTCAAAGCATTACCACATTATGGATGTAACTTGTTCTTGTTTTTGTTTTGTTTTTTAAGCCGATCTAGGTCAAATGAAAGGAAATAGAAGACCAGTTTGCAGAGGAGTGGTGTACAGGAAATAACTTCATTTGACAGGAGTATGTACAGAAAATTCAAGTTTTGTTTGAGACTTCATAAGCTTGGTGCATTTTTAAGATGTTTTAGCTGTTCACATTTGTCTCTCGGAACAGTGACCCGTAAAGATGTAATTCTCTATGGTTTGAAATGAATCATATGAGGCATGTGACATCAAGAATTGTTACTCTACAATGTTCCCGTAAACAATTGAATTTTCTTTGAATCTTTAGTCTCACATAGACTGATAATAGACCTCTAACTCCTGCCCAGCTAAAGTGTGATGTTTAATATTGGAAACAAAATTGGCAAAAAAAGACTATTTTTTTTTCCATGGGTAGGATATGGTATGCAGCTATAGGTGAAACAAGCAGTCTTTAAAAGCTGCTATGAACACAAGCCAGCAGGTAAAATTTAAAGCTGTACCATCAATTATGATTAGAGGTTTTTTTTAAATAAAAAAAAAAGAGCCCAACTAGTCTTCACACAGAGCAGAGGTGGTCTACTCAATATTGAATCCAAGAAGTTTTCAAGAATTCACCTTCGTTTTAGGTCATTAATTCCTTATGTGATTGCTGTATATTGGAAATTGGAGACTATTCAAGATACCAATGTCCTGCCAGTTTAAGGGTACATTGTAGAGCCCAAACTTTTGAGTTAACTGTGCAAGAATTTTTTTCATGCTCTCATTTGTAATATGTTCTGTGAGAATCCTTGGGATTAAAGTTTTGGTTACAAATTGCTGTTTAACCTGAAAGCCTGCTTTTTTCCTTGCAAAACTGAAATATGTGAGCTTGGTACCAAGTCCAGGTATAACATTCCTATTGGAAAGCCATACTTATATTTTCTTGTAAACTGCTTTTGAATTAATAAAATATCCACATAATTGTGTGATAGTTGAGCCCACTATTAGCATAGTTCTTGTCCTGTGGAAAGCAGTTGGTTACACAAATCTTACTTTATAAAACACAGTTGAGGCTTTTGAAAAAAGGGAGTTATTTGGTTGTCATCTGATCTTAGTACTTAACATTTTTTAGAAGCCAGTTCTGAGTCCCGTAATACTCTGTGACCAAGTATAACAAGCAACCTGATACATGATAGCCCAAAGTTGCCCATTAAAAAGTGGCTTTTATCATTAGCATGAGAACTTTCTACAAAGCTTTAAAAATTGCTTCCATTTTAGACATTTTGAGGTGTTGCATGGGGCTTCTAAATTGATCCATCATGATGTAAAATTCACTATATGGTTCAAATGTAACAGTGCAGAATACAGAGGCATGCATAACCTTCCTCTTAGAAATCCAGAGGAGTTTGTAATTTCAAATTTTTGTGCATTTAGATTAAATCATAATTCAACAGTCTTGTGGCTTAGTTTCCTTAAGTGTGCTATTTAAAGATAGTTTTGGATTGTTCTGTGCTGACTTGAATATGAAAAGTCTCATTGCATTAGAAGTTCTGTAAGGATGTTTTTTAAGAAACAGATTCTGAACAGGCTATTTCCAGTGCTCCTTAACCTTTCATGCAAATACCAGTAAGGGAGAAGAGTCATTGGTGTCCGTCAGGTTCAGTTATGGGCCCTGATACAGAAGAAACTCTATAGACTACCCTGCTTATGTACTGGGAACTCTGGCTCTGGGCCTTTGGTTTTATGGGATTTCCTTATAGCCTAAAAACTGTTCATTAAAATCAAGACAAAATAGCTGAGGTCATGAAAGTAATACAGTGTATCAGTAATTACACTGCACTTGTAAAGAGACATTGATGCCAGCATTTTGGGCAGTAATGCAAAATGCTCAGTCTTAAATGAAAGGATTTCTGTTGGGCAATAGGTTGTGGGTGTAATGTGGCTAATACAGAGCCTAAGGCAACCTTGGCTTCAGGGAGTTAATCCTCACTTAGTGTCCAAATTTGGTTTGGACTTAAGGTTCAAACCAAAAAGCCCCCTAGTTCATTAAAAAAAAGTAGAAACTGTTAAAACCCTACATTGCACAGTTATATAGTAACTATTAAAAGTTTGAAGTCACTATAATTTCTAAAACATCCTGTTAGTTTTGTTGTCAGGCATCCTCAGTTAAACATGATACTGATAACAGTCAAAACAGACTTGATACAATGACTATAGGTGTTGAAGTCACTGTTAATTTTTGGTGATAATTTAAGGAAATATCAGGACTTGCTGACAATGCTTTCAAGAATAACGGTTTGGTTAACTTATTTCTGACCTCATGTCTTAAGTAGGTGAAGATGAGAAATTTTGGTTTATGAGATGTAGTTACCGTTTATATACTTTCACAGTTTCTTAAAAAGTCATGTTGAGTAGATAGCATCTCCATTAAGTTAGACTGACCCATACGTACCTGGATGGAGAGTCCTGGTTGCTTTTTATTGTATAGTCATGGTTCATAAGTACAGTGCATCTTTATCAGGGATGGTGTTGGTCATAGAAATTACTCAAGATACAGCCTGATTTCAGGCCTATCAACTCAGTTTTCCAGGGTGGTCTAGTTTGGTGTTACTTGGAATTCTAGGTGATTATAAACATTCCGGGTTATATAAGAACCACTGGTTTAGTACTTTTTCCTAATTTGCTTCTATTTTCAGAATCCTGAACGTGATTTAGATGTCAAGATCTAGATGATGTCTTCCAGTTGTATATTTTTGTATTAGACTGTTGCCTTCTGGTTTTCCATTTTTTTGAGAACATAAAAGATTTTTATAATTAAAGTAGCTGGAGAAAAACTGGGTTGGAGTATATTTTTATCAAAAAATCTTAGTGTAGAATTCAGTATATGTCCATACATATTTTCCATCCTATTAAAAGATTCATTGGCTACTTAAAAAGAACTCAGCTTGTAGCACATGAATTGAAAATTTGTCTTTGGATAAATCTATTTTGTTCATGCCAACTTTTTCCTTACTGGGATGGCAGAAATTTGATTGGGTGTTAGACTCAGTACTCCACTTTCTCTTCAATCATCTGGAAAATGCTAACAGTCAAGCTGTTTACCAGATAAACTTGAAGTATAGGTGGAGGGCATTACTTTTCTCAAATTGTTTTTCCTTCATTTGTTCTGACAAAACCTTGTATGATTATTTACTAGTCTTAACCTGGAGTGCCTGTGTTGTAAGTCAGTACATGTATATGCTTAGTCTTGAAGTGAAAGATTTGTGGAAATGGAACCGTTTGCTTCTTAATCTTACCTGGAGAAATTCTGAGATGGAGAATATTTCACTAGAGCAAGATGGAGCCTTCCAGCAAAGTAGACTATAGGTAATTTCCCCTTTTTTAAAGTCCTAGTCACTTGTGAATGGGCACTTTTAGTATTTTAACCTCATTCAGATTTCTTTTGGGGAAAGTTAGCATCCTTTGAGTGCTTGATTTTTATTTGCTGCCAAGCTCCAAAACTTGAGTCTTTCAAGGAGGAAAGTTGCTTAATATTTCTATATTGCCGTCTCTTTGTATGTGGTGTATAGATCATTTGGGGGAAAAATGGAAATGGTCACTAATTTAAAGGGAGAAAAACCTCTCAGGAAACAATTTTCTAAACCCTTTTAAGTTGAGGCAACTAGTAGCCCATTCTAGCTGGCTCTCTGACACCAGAATTCTGTGTGAAGGAAATTTTTTGTTTATAAAAACTATCTATGTTCAGTTTCAACAAGAGTGCTTTACAAATAAATACAAATCAAACATTGATTTATCATTTAATTCTTGTGTCACCTTCCCCACATGGCAGAGCACAGGCGCTTTGGGGAATGGGGTATATAGTGGCGAGGCACAGCAACAGCCCAGAATGTAGAAAAAACATTTGATGTTAAATTGAAGTTCAAAATGTTGAGACCTAAGCCTTACTAAATTTGCTGTTCACCCATTTTAAATTAGAATAATTTGGAGTGTTGGTCTTAGGGCCTACGTGCCCTAAGATAAAGGCTTTTGGGCCTGGGGTGAGGTGGTGAATATAATTGAAGGCCCTTTGGAAAACAAGTGAATTGAGTCAAATACCTGGGTGGTGGGGCAACTAAAGATAGCATCCTGGGTTAGGAAAGACTATGTAAAGAATAGGTGAATACATACCTTAACCATAAAGAAGAAATTTAGAGGGCAGGAGCAATTTGCAACTGCAGTAGGGTTTTGGAGGTAAGATTGAAGATGCTACAACTGAATTTGAAGTGGTTCAGTCTGATTTTTGACTTGTTTCAACCTTAGCCTTACTGCTAAATGGGTGTGGGATAACTTGTCCAGCTTTAGTACTGGCAGGGCCAAATTGGGAGTGTTAGGCTCACACATAAAATGACTGGTTTAGGTAGCACAGCTCTCTGGGCTTACTAGGGGCAAGAAATGGACTGAACTGTCAGTCCTGGTTGGACTTGGCAATCTAGTAGTGCATTTTATAAGTAGGAGTAGATGAATATTGCTTATTTGGAGAAGACTACACTAAACCTTTGACAGTATAGCTGTCTTTAGGATGCTGTTAAGTGTTAGGATAGTTGGAGTGGTCAGAAAAAGAAGTTTTACATAGGAACTTTGCCCCATTCCCACTCAAGCCAGTTACGGCCCTCAGGAGGGAAGATTTTGTGTTTATAGGTTGTCAGACTGTACAGGGACTCCATACATGATTTTACCACTTGAGAGGTATCACTGGTAAGGTAGAAAAGTTAAATCATTCTACTTAAACAAGTAGTGTATTCAGAACCCAAGCCAGTTTTGATTCAAAAGCTGTGTTTTATTCATTTTTCTTCAACCTAATGAGATGCCATTTGTGATTCTGTGGTTGTCAGGAGTAGGGCCTGTCTGTAAAACCATGGTCATGGTAAAAAATTGTACATAAATTGGAAAATCCCTCCAGTCTCTTCCTAGAGGTAATTCATTAACATTTTCTCTAGAAAGTTAGGCAATGTGATGAGCAAATATTTATAAAGCTAGAAAATGCTGAACATGTTTCCAGCTTCTCACACATCTGAAGTGTAGATAAATCTACCATACATTCCATCATCTGAGCAGGTACCACAATTATTAGCAGACAGTTAAGGCATTTATTGGCAAAAGGCCCACCCTGTCTAGGGCTCATGCCCATTTGTCAAGAACAAAGCTGTGCTAATGTGGGTGGGTTGACATTGATTCTGTCCCTGTTTATTAATAGGCTTTGTCATGGGCATGCTTCTAAGCTATGACTAGTTGAAACGGTTATGTAAGTCCTAGTCTTGACCCCTTCACAGTTTGAACCCTTTGAGGAAATGTGAGAGCAACACTGATAAGTATTGCATTTTCAACTGAGGACTGGTGAACATCAGAGTTTTTAAATCCAGCTTTTTAGAGAAGTGTGCAATTCGTTTTATAAATGGAATCTCCAGGGCTATGCCTCAGAAGAATTCTATGGCTAGACAAGGTTGTTGGAGATATGAGAGTGAGCACCTCTGGTTTCAAAACCAAGTGTTCCAAGTTAGGATTGATTCTATGGTGCAACATTTCTTAGTTGCTGGGGAAAAGTACTGATGTGGGTTAAGTGGGCCCATTTGAAGTGATCACTTAGATTTTGACAGGGGACTTGGTGATTAAAGCTGTCAAACTGTCCAGCAGCTGCAGTCTATTGACCTGGAAGAATGCTCCATTCCTTTCCTCAGGTGATTTTGATTAATTCCTAGAGGTGGATGGAAGGAAGGCGTTTTAAGTATTTACCATATGCATCATCCAAGACTGGTTCCTGAACTGGAGCGAACTTTCTGGACTTGGCAGTAGTTGACAAAAAAGAAAAGGATTCAAAAGGTATTAGTTGGATGTGATCATTTGATCATCCTGCTTTATTGAGGAAGGAATTAGAGTAAAGAGAAGGCTTAACATGTAGTTCAAAGTCAATACCCTAGCAGTGATTGAGCTGGAATGGTGTGACCTAGGTTGTAGGACCAGGTGTCGATGAGCAGGAAGGGGCCTTCCAGAGTCCCAGTGCTACATTGAGAGAGAAGAAGGTGAATTTGCTCAGAATCATGGAGATACCATGGCAGAGCCAGGACAAAAAACTGCCCCAATAGCTAACCCAGTGTTTTGGAGCCAGTATCATGTTAAGCTTTTAGGCTTCAAAGCTAGTAGCCAGGGTTTGAATCCTGGCCTTCTTGCTTATAGCTCAGTGACATTGGACCAGCTCTAATCTCTGGGGTTTCATTTTTCTCATCTGTATAATGTTAATAGGAAATCACTGCTACTAGTTAGTATCTTGAGAATGTAATGGTGTGATGCATTTATGTCACCTAACGGCATGGCATATGTTTCACTAAACAGCTGTTGTGTGGCAGGCTCACACTGGTATGCAGTAAGCACTCAAGAAATGGCTTTTAAGTTGGATTCACTCCTTTTGGTGCTGGGCAGGCAAGAGTATGGTCCAATGCATTCTTGCATTCCCTAGTACGTAGAGTGTGTTTCCACAGACTCTGGTCCTTAACCACTTATCTGTTGTCCAGTTGAAGGGGACATGTGTTTGAAGGGTCCACAATCAAGCAGGACATTTGTAGTTATGAGAGTCTGGGCAGATTTTAAGAAACAGGCTTCTGAAGGCATAGGGATATGCAGGTAGGAAAGATAACCTGAAGGATTAAAAATGTTAGATGGTTCCTCTTTAAAAATAGGTTTTCAGTTTAGGCCAGCCTTATTTAAATTTACATCTTTCTGCTGTGTGCCTGGGTCAAGTCACTTACCTGCCTTAACTTCTTGTAAAGTTGGGGATGAAAACCTACCTTAGAGGGTGTTGATGAATCCATGTGTCAATGTTTTATTTCTGCCTTTTGCTACGCATTGGAGTCACCAATTGGAGAACTTTTGAAAACTAATACCTGGGCCCCATCCCCAGAGGTTCTGATTAAGTTTATTTGAGGTGGAACTTGGCATCCGTAATTGAAAGTCACCCAGGTAAGTGTAAAGAGTGGTCGGAATTAAGATCTGTTAGCTGATCCGCATGGTCCTGTTGGTTCTGTCTTCTTCCTACTCCAGTTCCTGCAGGTGTCCTGTTCGTCCTTAGTCTGGGACCTCTGCCCATCCCTGTTATTGCCTCTTAACCTGGCTAGGGGAGGTGGCCAGGTTCTACTTATAGAGGCTATGGAACCGGACTGAAAATTCCCAGCATTCTTTGAATGCCCACCTTGATGTCACCTAGAGCCGGATGAGATCCTTGTCACCAGAAGGTGCTGCTTCCCTTTGCTCCTTCATTCAGTACACTCAGCACTGGTGTGGGTGATAGCCCTTGAGCAGTGTGGGAGGGAAAAGGTAGACAACCAGCTAGGAAAGGAACTAAAATTCAGTTACTTTATGCTGAGCACATGTATGGTGCTTTTATTAACTCTGTGATGATGGGGTTATTTCCCATTTATTTAAGAAGCTGAGAGGGACAGTAGTCTCCAGCCTATCAGACTTGTGCCCCCTTTCTGTAAAAACAGTATATTGTAGTGATCCTTGGCTATTCTGAAATGAAATCCATTTTCGGTGTTACTAAAAAAACCGACGAAGACTATAAAGAAATAAAAGAAAAGCAGTTTATAAAATGGCTCTGTAGGTATTAGGTATGACTGCTAAAGACATAAGAAATGAGATGTTTGAAGCTATTGCGTACTTGTCCTACAGGAAAATAAAGAGTGAAGGCCCATGTAGACACCAGATTAAAAACTAGAGCCAATAGTTCAACCACTGTGGGAAGTAGTATGGAGGTTCCTCAAAAAACTCAAAATAGAAATACCATTTGACCCAGGAATTCCACTCCTAGGAATTTACCCTAAGAATTCAGCAGCCCAGTTTAAAAAAGACATGCACCCCTGTTGATTGCAGCACTGTTTACAATAACCAAGAAGTGGAAGCAACCTAAGTGCCAATCTGTAGCTGAATGGATAAAGAAGATGTACATATACACAATGGGATATTATTCAGCCATAAGAAGAAAACATCCTACCATTTGCAACAATGGATGGAGCTGGAGGGTATTATGCTCAGTGAAATAAGCCAGGTGGGGAAAGACAAGTGCCAAATAATTTCACTCATGTGGAGTATATGAACAAAGAGAAAACAGCAGCAGACTCACAGAACCCAAGAATGGACTAACAGTTACCAAAGAGAAAGGGACTGGGGAGGATGAGTGGGAAGGGAGGGATAAGGGGGGGAAAGAGGCATTACAATTAGCAGACATAATGGGGTGGGGGGTGGGCACCGGGAGGGTTGTACAACACAGAAGACAAGTAGTGACTATAGCATCTTACTACCCTGATGGACAGTGTGATGGGGTGTGTGGTGGGGACTTCATGATGGGGGGAGTCTAGTAACTATAATGTTGCTCATGTAACTAGATTAATGATATCAAAAAAAAATAGAGCTAGAAAGTGGTGGTAGACCAGACTTGCCTGATGAGAGAAGGGGACATATGCTTTATTGGAGTAAAGAGAACATGCCAGACAAAAGAAGCTGAGCTGGAGAAATGAAGTACAATATTCTCACACAAGAGTTGAACCTTAAAACTAATGTCAAAAAGAACTCCCCTATTTAACGTGGGGCATGGGGAGGGTAGTAAATGAAGTGCTTGTCCATTGCAGTTAAGGAGGCTTATGTGAATCAATACATGAAATGTGCTTAAAACAGTCGCTGGCACAAATACTGTTTAAGTATTAAGTTTTATAGATAGCCTTTGATAGAAGGGGAGTAACTGGATTGGGGAAAATTTAGTCC